CCCACAGCCCCACGTCCCCCCCACTGCAGCCCCCACAGCCCTGCGTCCCCCCCACCGCAGCCCCCACAGCCCTGCGTCCCCCCCGCAGTCCCCACAGGCCCGCGTCCCCCCCACTGCAGCCCCCACAGGCCCGCGTCCCCCCCACTGCAGCCCCCACAGCCTCACGTCCCCCCCAGTGCAGCCCCCACAGCCCCGCGTCCCCCCCACTGCAGCCCCCACAGCCCCGCGTCCCCCCCACTGCAGCCCCCACAGCCCCGCGTCCCCCCCGCAGTCCCCACAGGCCCGCGTCCCCCCCACCGCAGCCCCCACAGCCCTGCGTCCCCCCCACTCCCCCGCAGCCCCGCACATTGTCAGCCAGGAGTTCGGCACCTGCCAGCCCCTCTCTGGACCAAAGGACCTCACCCAGCTCTTTGGCTTCGCTCGGAACGCCTTCACTGTGCTGGCCATGATGGACTACCCATACGCCACCGACTTTGTGGGGCACCTTCCTGCCCAGCCCGTCCAGGCACGGCGCCTGCTCCTGCCATTCAGAACCCGGAGCGGGGCCCGGCGTGCTCAGAGCGGGCCGCCCCGGGCCCTTGCGCCCGCTCAGCCCTGGGACCGGGGCGGGGGGGTGTGGGCAGGGGGCCCGGCCACCCTGGGTGCTCAGAGCGGGCCGCCCCGGGCCCTTGCGCCCGCTCAGCCCTGGGACCGGGGCGGGGGGGTGTGGGCAGGGGGCCCGGCCACCCTGGGTGCTCAGAGCGGGCCGCCCCGGGGCCTTGCCCGGGGTGGGGGGGCGCGGCTGCTGAGGCTCCGCGTTCCCCAGGTTGGCTGCAGCCGGCTGCTGAGCGAGACCTCGAGGATTGCGGGGCTTCGCGCGCTGGCCGGTGCGTCTGCCCCCCTGCCCGGGCCACTGCTGAGCACAGGGGCCCCAAGTTGGTGGGGGGCAGCCAGGCCCAGGAAGGGCGGTGTGGGGCGGGGCACACGGAGGCCGGCACTTGGCCCCTGGGGAGGAAGAGGCCATCCCCCCGCAGAGCACGACCTCTGGAAGGCCCCCAGTGCAAAGGGCGGCACAGCCCACCCCAGGCCCCCCTGCTGCAAGGGGCACGTCAGGTGGGCTGTCCCGCAGCCCTGAGCAACCCAGACAGAGCGGACAGCACAGCCCGCCCCCCGGGACAACCACCCCACTCCGCGCTGGGCCCACGGGGCCCTGCAGAGCCCCTCTAAGCGGACAGGGTGGGCACCCAGGCGCCCGGCCCCAGCAGCCCTCTCCCCCAGGGCTGGTGTACAACTCGTCTGGCACAGAACCCTGCTATGAGATCTACCTGCAGTACCAGGCCTGCGCCGACCCCACGGGCTGCGGCTGGGGCAGCGACGCCAAGGCCTGGGACTACCAGGTTTGGGTGGCTGGGGGCCCGGGGCGGCCGGGTACGGGGGGGCTGGGGACCCGGGGCAGCTGGGTACAGGGGGTGCTGGGGGCCCGGGGCGGCCGGGTTACAGGGGGTGCTGGGGGCCCGGGGCGGCCGGGTTACAGGGGGTGCTGGGGGCCCGGGGTAGCCGGGTGCGTGGGGCTGGGGGCCTGGGGCTGCATGGGCCAGCCTGATCATGGCGCGGCATCCCGCAGGCCTGCACTGAGATCAGCCTGACGTTCTCCAGCAACAACGTGTCAGACCTGTTCCCTGAGCTGCCTTTCACTGAAGCCCAGCGCCAGCAGTACTGCCTGGACACGTGGGGCGTGTGGCCCCGGCAGGACTGGCTGCAGACCAGCTTTGGGGGGGGCGGTGAGGCCCACAGCGGGGGTGGGGGCACGGTTCCTCCCCCTGCACTGAGCAGGCTGTTTCCCAGGCTCCAGGACCCGGCCCCTGGGTCAGGCTGAGGGGGCCCCCCAGTGCCCACCACGCTCCCTCCGTCCCTTTCAGACCTCACAGCTGCCAGCAACATCATCTTCTCCAATGGAGACCTGGACCCCTGGGCGCGGGGCGGGGTGAGTCACACAGGAGCCAGGCCGCGGGCATGGCTCCTGGCCGCGCTCCCCACCCATCGCTGCTTCCTCTCCCTCCGTTGGTTCCCCTTCTTCCGGTGGCCTGGTGTCTACTCGTTCACAGTCACCTTTCCTTTATAACGGAGCCACTCTCCTCAAGCCTCTGTGGGGGCCATATCCTACCTGCCGGGACGAGAAGCTGGGGGGCCGGGGACTCAGCCCAGAGCACATGCCCCGGACACAGTCTCCTCCAATGACAGATCCAGAGCAACCTGAGCGCATCTGTGCTCGCCATCACCATCCGCGGGGGGGCACACCACCTTGACCTCAGGTGAGGCCCGCCTGGGGAGGGGGCGCGGTGCCTGGTCTGGGCGGGCGAGGTGGCAGGGCTCAGGGCCGGCCAGCCCAGCTGAGCGCCTCCTTGCCCGCCCCCAGAGCCTCCCACCCAGACGACCCTGCATCCGTGGTGGAGGCCCGCAGGCTGGAGGCCGCTCTCATCGGCAAGTGGGTGGAGGCGGCGAGGGGCACGCGGCTCCGGGGATGAAGGCTGCCTGCCGCAGGGCCAGAGACTACCAGCTGGGGCCTGAGGCGAGGCAGGGGCAGGCGCCAGGCCCCAGCTCCTGCAGCCGGAGCCATGCCTGGGTGGGCAGGGCCTTGCCCAAGGAGGTGCTGGACAAACACTGCTGGCCTGTCAGGCATGCCGGGTCCTACCCCTGTCCCGTCTGAGGCCCAGGACCCTGGCAGGCTCACACCACCTCCTCAACTCGGCTGTTGAATAAAGCAGAGTCCTTGGCTCCGCGTGCTGTCCTGCGTGTTGGGCACGGGGCCCTTACCACTGCAGGAAAACCCAAGACACGACCTACGGCCGCCCCAGCGAGCCTCCACCGTCCTCAGCCGTCCTCTCCCCCTAACTACTGCAGTGGCCCCGCAACCCCCAAATCCCCCTGCTTGGGGCCAGGCCTGCACAGGGTGGAGGGCAATCTGCTTCCCTGGGCCGACTGTCCCCGCCAGGCCGCGGAGTGTCCAGGAGGAAGCCTGCGGTCCGGAGTTCGGATGAACCACTGCCTGAGCGGCTCCTGGGCTGCGGCGTGGGGGTGGGGCGCACCGTGGGCCCTCGGGCTGGCCTTCTGCACCCAGGCAGCCAGCAGCCACAAGGGCAGGCCCTGCACAGCTGTGAGTAGGAGCCCTGCTGGGCCGTGGGCAAGAGGGGGCCGGCAGCCTCACAGGATGGACACCAAAGGGCCGTCAGGACAAGTACCAACCACGGTAAACCAGGGCGAGGGAGGCCCTGCAGGCCGGGGGGCTGCGGCCGACGCAGAGGCTGCCAGCAACAGCAACATGTCTCCTCACACACCCGGGGAGAGGGTCAGCCCGGCCACAAGGGCGCTGGGCTGGGACGGGGCTCAGCCCAGGGATCTGGCTTCTTGCTGGAAAGCCACACCCTAGTCACTTCAGTTCAGTTGCTCAGTCGTGTCTCTCTGCAACCCCATGGACTGCAGCACACCAGGCCTCCCTGGCCATCACCAATTCCCGGAGTTTACACCAACTCATATCCATTGAGTTGGTGATGCCATCCAACTATCTCATTCTCTGTCGTCCCCTTTTTCCGCCTTCAGTCTTTCCCAGCATCAGGGTCTTTTCAAATGAGTCAGCTCTTCGCATCAAGTGGCCAAAGCATTGGAGTTTCAGCCTCAGCATTAATCCTTCCAACGAATATTCAAGGCTGATTTCCTTTAGGATGGACTGGTTGGATCTCCTTGCAGAACCAAAGGACTCTCAAAAGAGTCTTCTCCAACACCAGGTTGAAAGCATCAATTCTTCGGTGTTCAGCCTTCTTTATGGTCCAACTCTCACATCCATACATGACCACTGGAAAAACCATAGCTTTGACTAGACAAACCTTTGCTGGCAATGTAACGTCTCTGCTTTTTAATAAGCTATCTAGGTTGGTCACAGCTTTTCTTCCAAGGAACAGGCATCGTTTAATTTCACTTTCACAGCCTGGGCTGCCCTAAGGAATGGGTGCTGCCGGCCGCACAGGACCGTGACAGGCACCTTGAGAGGAGCAACAGGCGATGACACCCCACACCCAGGGCAGCAGGCAGAGCACAGGCCCACTGAGGCCCACAGCCAGCATCTCACACCCTCACCCTGGGGTCGCCTCATCCAGCACCTGTGCTGTGGGAGGACGTTTCCAAACTCCCCGGGCAGAGCCAAAGCCGACGTCTGGACACAGGGGAGACCGGACCTGCCCCTGCCCCTGCCCCTTGCCCTGACCTCACACTGGAAATCAGAAAATAGACGAAGCAGATGCCATTCAGAACAAGTGTACTTTTATCATGGATTAGAAGTCTGTCTGTTGGGCTGGGAGCCGGTGAACATGCCGCCCAGCCCTGCCCAGCCTTGCAAAGGCAGGGGCGGATCCCTGAGTCCAACGTGTAAACAGCGCAGCCAGCCAGGAGCCCAAATCCCCGTGAGGTCAGGGCGCCCCGAGCCCCTGGGTCGGGCGTGTTCACAGGCTGTGGCCCCGAGGCTGGGCTGCACCAGGCCGTCCCCTCAGCCCCCGTCTCTGACCACATTGCGGGCTCTGGGCCAAAGTGGCCTGGGGTGACCAGACACCCAGGACCCCGAGGAAGCCCTTGCAGGGCAGCAGGGGAGTGTTCAGGCTTCAGGAATGTAGTCATGATTTGATTTTCTAGGAAGAAGGAAGAAACTCGCTGAGTGGACAGGATCCCCAGAATCACACCGCCCATTTATTCCAACGTGTTCCAAACGGTGATCCAACAGGAACCAGGCGAGGAGCACAGAGCCAGCGGCAGAGCACCGGATGCCCAGTGGCCACCCCGAGCAGCCACGAGGCCCCCAAACATCCCAGCCCTGTGGCCCGCTTGCCTCTGTCACCAGCCCGGCCCGGAGCACGTGCCGCCAGCTGGGGGGACACCACACAGCCAAGGTCAGGGCCCGGGTCTTGCCGACAGGCATCCCTGCGGACAGCACACGTCAGCCTCCTGGGCAGCGCCTACTCGAGAGCCGTCCCGCCCTAGGAGGGGGCCCAGATGGGCAGGGGGTGAGCCTCTGTGTTGAACACGTAGGTGTCCAGGCTCAGCAGGTCGGGGTCGTCGGAGAAGAGCAGATACAGGTATTTGAGCGTCTCCCCCAGAAAGAAGCTCTCCATCTTATCCCTGGGCTGGGGGTGGCGGGGGTCCTGGACGTTGCTGATGGAAGAATAGCCGCCCGAGGGGACCTGCTCGAGAGCCGAGGCCGCAGCATCACAATGCTGGCTCAGCCCTCTGGAGGGCTGCCAGCCAGAGGTGCCGCCCCCCACCCACCCCGGCCCCTGGCCCGCCCCAGAACACACGGCCCCCAGGGCAGGGTCTGGGGCGGGGAGGACACCAAAGCCAACAGGGGGAATGGCCACCCTGGAGGTCAGCCATGGTTCCCTTCAGTGATCAGACGCCAAGTGCCACCTCTAAAACCCGTGCAGGCCTCACAAAGGCCCCAAGGCCACCCGAGGGGTGTCGAGTCCGCCTCAGGGGCCACAGGGCAGAGGTCAAGTCTCAGCCCCACCAGGGTGGGCAGTGGGCCCTGGGCACAGCAGGGGGCGGAGCTGGCTGTGGCCCCCGGCCTGGGGCGCAGCGGCCCAGAGGTCACCCACCCGCTGGGTGGGAACACGCTGCCCAAGCCGCACAGAAGACCCGGGAGAGACACGTTCTGTGTGCCTCAAGCCACTGCGGGGACCCTCCCGACACAGCTGTGCCCCAGACAGGACACACGGACGCCCCGACCCCCCGGGCCCTCACGGCAGGGCAGGGCCTCCCCGTGCAGCCCCTGGGAGGCGGCACTGAGGCCCGGGGACACTCGGGGGGCTCACCCGCGTGTAGGTGTTGAAGCTGTGCAGGATCTCCCAGCCCCAGTCCTGGTACTTGCGGTCGCCCGTGAGGCGGTACAGGTAGAACAGGCTCTCCACGGCCTCGGGCCGCAGCAGGTTGTGTCTGTCGGCCGCCTGGGGGGGGCGCGTGGGCTCAGGAGCCGCCTCCCAGCACTGCCCTCTGGCCCAGCCCCGGCCCGGCCCGGCTCACCTTGACCTGGACGTCCCTGACAGCCTCCGCGCGGCGCAGGTTGAAGTGTGCGATCTCGGGGCTCAGCCCCGTCTCCATCTGACGGTACATCTGGTAGCAGGTGTCCATGAGCGCCTGGGCCAGCTCCATGTGCTCAGCAGGCAGGCCGTGGTGGGCACCCAGAGCCAGTGTCCCCGGCAGGAAGCACACCAGGTGGTCCTGAAACCACGGGGTCGCCTCATCAGCGGGTCCAGCACCCTCAGGCCTCAGACCTGGGGCCCCACACGGGCAGCGAGAAGCTTCTGGAAGGACCACCTCAAAGGTCGATGGAGCCCTGGCTGCAGGAGGGGGTGCAACTGGGAGTGGGGGTTCCCTGAGAGCATGGAAGGAGAGACTCGTTGCAGGGCAGGGGTCCCGGAGGAGGTGGGGGCTCTCTGGTGGGGGCCCTGGCACCCCACAGACCTCAGCCCCTCCTGCTGCTATCACGGGACACCCACGTCCACCCGGGACCGCTCACAGTCCACGGCCAGGATCCCAAGGTTCCCCGGGTCACGCCCACTCTCAGAGCCATCAGACATCAAGCAGAGGCTGGGTCCCCTAGCTGCCTTGAGGCCGGATCGGGGAAACATGCTCCCACTCACCATCTTGGCGCTGAAGCGGCCGTGGTTGAGCTCCCCCACGAAAGTCAGCTTCCTGGGCTCAGATTTAGCGAGCAGGTGCTTCCTGATCCCGTCCACGGCTTCCAGGTAGTCTTCCAGCAGCCTGTGCAGACCAGTGGGGCCTGTGTGCTCTGGCCAGGTGGGCACACAGCCCGCAGTTCCACAAACAGGGCGCGACCCCAAGCTGCGGTCCCCGTTCGGGGACCTGTGAGGCCCGGCCCTGCCAGCCCCGTGGGGGCCAGCCTCACGGGCTTCTGGGCCGCCCCCACTCCAGTGAGGCCAGTGCCTCCCAGCCAGCCCCCAGGCGCCACTGGACACCAGCCTCTGCCAGCCTGATTCACCCGGAACCAGCTGCGGGCTCTCCAGTCAGTAGCGCTTCCTGGGCCACAGGCACCCCCAGGCTTGAGGCTGAGAGGACCCAGCACCCCACGGGGGTTCATCTCTGTTTTATAATTGGACAAGGCTGCTCCCTGGGAATGTCTGCGTCTTCAGTGTCCAAGCCCTGAGCACAAGGAGGCCCACATCTCCCCGGCTGCCTCCCGCTGAAGCCAATGACCCTGAGCACAAGGAGGCCCACATCTCCCCGGCTGCCTCCCGCTGAAGCCAATGACCAAGCAGCCGCAACTCCAAGGAAGACCCCTGCTGCCCAGCGAGGAGGAGCCATGCCCCGTGGCCGGTCCTTGCTCGGCACACGGATGGACAGAAACAGCTTCCCCACAGAGGGCCCCGCCACCCCGAGCCCCGGGGGCCACCCCGAAGGCAGAGAAACAGGCCTCACTGGCTCTCCTTCTTCCCGCCCTGGATCCACTGCTTCAGCAGGTACTCGTAGTAGCTGTCGGCCCTGGCGCCCAGGGTGAACACGCCCAGGTGGGTGAAGCTGCCGCTGTTGGTGTTGATGAACATGGGCACCAGCCCGTCCAGCTTCCCGCGCAGGGCGTGCACGCGCCTCGTCACCTCCTCTGCGGCCTCCTGGGGCAGATGACAGGGGGCGGTGAGCAGATGGGCTGGGCAGGGGGGCTGCCCTCCGACACAGCGCCAGGATGGCCGACCGCGGGACTGAACCCGTCCTCGAGACACTTCCTAGCCCCGAGCAGGGGGGACAGGTTAGGAGCAAGCGGCCTGCATGGTGTGACTGTGTCCCAAAGACAGGACAGCACAGGACCCGCAAGTCATTGCGTGGCGGCCAGGGACCTACTGGCGCCCTCCTACACAAAAGACAGACGGCACACAGACACAGAACACGGAAGACACACGGCACACGGACTCACAACACGGAAGACACACAGTACACAGACACGGAAGGCACACACACTCTCAGCACGGAAGATACACGGTACACAGACTCACAACACGGAAGACACAGGGCACACGGACACAGAACACGGAAGACACACGGAACACGGACTCACAACGTGGAACACACATGGCACGTGCACTGACAACACGGAACACCCCACACACGGACACAGAACATGGAAGACCCGGCACACGGACTCACAACGCGGAACACACATGGCACATGGACTCACAACATGGAAGACACAGCACACGGACACAGAACACGGAAGACATGGCACACGGACACAGAACACGGAAGGCACACGGCACACGGACTCACAATGTGGAAGACATGGCACATGGACACAACACGGAAGACACACGGCACACAGACACGGACACACACACAGCAACATACCACTGATTAAAAAATCAAATCCAACTGGAGACACCATCACACACCCATGTGGACAGACAGCTGACAGCTGGGTGGTGGACCAAGGCACGTCTGGACAGGTGGGCCCAGCCTGAGCCCTCCTGCCAACGTCCCCAGGAGCAACCGGCTGCAGCATGGCAGTGGCCAGCCCAGAAATGAGTCCACCACGTCAGGGGTTCTCTAAGCTGAGAACGGAAGGACCCTGACTGGTCCCGCCCCCTTGAGACAGCTCAGACTCGCTGAGCACCCAGACTGCAGCCAGGGCACGAGAGGGCGCGGCCTGCGAGGCGCCAGGAAGCTCCGGACAGCAGACTGTGTCTGGCCGCCCAGGGCTGTGGGGTAACGAACAGCGCTGCGGTCGATCGGGTGGAGGGGACAGATCTAGAGGGTGACGATGGCCAGACACGTGAGCACAGACAGCCATGGTCACTGGAGAGGGCGGGACCTCTCAACACAAGCATCTCAACAAAAAAGATGGGGATGAGCAGAGAGAACAGGGAAACCTGAACGGATGCCGACACGCAGACAGACCTGCCACAGGAGGGGCCCTGGGGAGGAAGGTGGCAGACGCTGCTGAAGACACAGAGGCAGAGCCACACAGACACACAGGCCCGCCATGGCGCCACATGCATGGTCAGCACTGCGGGACAGGGGCCACGCCGGCACAGCACTCCACTGCCCCCAGGACAGCATGCGGGGCCCAGTCAGGGCACCACAATGGGACAACCACGTCACCTACACTGATCTGACTACAAAGCCCAGAGCTCCAACACACCCTGTGGCACTCAGCCACAACAGAGCAGGAGGGCCTCACCACTGCAGGAGGGCTCAGGACAACGGCAAGTGGACTCCAGGCCACACCGAGCGCGGCAGGACAAGCCGGCAGCTGTCGGGGCCCTGAGGACACGGGACTGCACGGGGGCGGGCCAGGCAGAGGACTCAGCCTCCGGTCAGGACGTCTCCTGTCTGCACCTCTCGTATCACCAGAAAACGTGATTCTCCAGGAGAACGTGGGACAAGAATCAAAACTGACATGACATGACTCTCATGGCCCAGGACCCATGACCACACAGACCTGCACGTGCCTCCAAGAGCCAAAGATGGCCCCGCAGAAAACCCGCACCAGCCGGAAGCAGAAGCCCCTCCATACCTGAAATTTCTTATCCCCCGTGAGACGAGAGAGCTCTCGGAACTCCAGCTGAATGCTCGTCACCTCAGCCACCGTGCTATCAGAGGTCCATCGGGGTGGGTGAGCAACTCCGGTGCCGATGTTTACATCGGAGTACGGAATCTTAGAGGGTGTTCGGAAGGCAGGCATTAACCGATTTCCAAAATCCTCCTGATACACAACACAGCGATGAGTCAACGATTCCTGCTGCTCAGTGGCCTTGTTCCATGACACGACAGTAAACCCAACACCCATTTTCATGTAATTCAGCGGACAGACCCAAGTATGCTGGCTTCACCTGACCTTAACCCTGCCAGCTACACAACCCGAGCTGGACTCAATCAGTTCAGAATGACCTCACGGGCAGGCAGCAGGCTGGCACAACACTGCTTCAACCACCCATGTGCTCGGAAGCAGACTCAAGAGCGGGAGGAGGCAGAACTGGAAATAAACGTCTGCCGCAGCCCAATCCCGCGAGAAAATCACTGACTGCTGAGCACTTGAGACCCCAGCCCCACCGGAGGCGAGCAGCCCTGAGGCCGGGACACTCACAGCCTTCGTCAGGAAGAGGACGTCCCCAGACAGGTGGAATGCACTCAGCAGCCCCCCCAGGATCCGGATTGTGCTCTCAAACAGGTTGACGTCCACATCTTTCTGAAACAATAACCTCTTGGACACCCACTTCCTGGCTTCTTGAAATTCTACCACGTGGAACAGCAGAGGTACAAGAACAAATTAACAGTCCAGCATTTCCCTGGCCGCTCCCTCTGGGGCTACGCACATCCCCTGCAGGGTTTCGGCATCACCTCCTCATGCAAGAGGGGGAGCCCAGGAGTCCTCCAACCGCACAGGAAACACGGGGCCAGCGGGCAGCTGGGGGAAGGCCGTGCAGCGTGAGCACAAGCGCTCGACGTCAAAGCCACACGACCGAGGAGCGCAAGACAGTGAGTGGTGGAGGCTGCAGTGCGATTGGAAGACGGACAGGGCCGTGAGCGCGCCAGCTCAGAAACATCTGGGGCATGTCACCTGGCTCACCCTGTCTGCACCGACAAGGACTGAGAGGGAGGCTCTGGGCGCTGCCGGCCGCTGCGGCGGCGCACCTGTCACCTCCCACCACAGGGCCCCCTGACCGCAACAGAAACACGGGCTGCAAACATCCCTGCACTCCGCCCTCCGCCACACTCGGCGCCCTGCAGGAGGCGCAGGGCGCACGGACGTGTGAGGACAGAGGACTGCCCGCGGCCAGCACAGCCACGCTGGCGGCCAGGACAGGGGGAAGCACAGCTCAGCAGGACGCGGCGTGCGGTCGCCTCCCAGCCCAGGCTCACTCGGGCCCGAGGGTCAGGCCTGGAGAGCTCGAGCCCGCCGCAGGGGCGAGCAGGTACCTTTCTTTAGCCCCAGAATCCACATGGTGTCCAGGGCGTCGACCAGCGTGAGGCCGAGGCCGAACCACTCGCTGAAGGACCTGGTCAGCGGCTTCAGCTCGTCGTGGCCCCAGGCGAACTTGCGGTATCCGGCCCACGCGTGGAGGAAGGCGTCCACCACGGCCTTCTGGCGCGCGTTCTGGGAGGCTGGCAGGAGGAACGCAGGGCATGGGCACCCAGACAGAGCTGCCCTGTGGCCCCACAGTGAGTGAGGCTGCCGCGGGGGCGCCTCAGGCCGCAGTGAAGGCCCAAGCGGAAACTGCACCCAGCCCAGGCTCGTCAGCCTCCGCCAGGTCCCGGCGGGGACCACCCTCCAGGAAACAGCGAAGGAGCGGAAGCAGAGGAACCAGTAAGCCTGAGTGTGCAGTCTGGTTTGTGGACATCAAACGTGCCAGGCGCTGGTGACCCAGACAAGAAAACCTTGTCTGAGTAATAGAGAAGTTCCTTAAAACACTTGTAATAGAGCTACCATATGACCCAGCTACCTACTCCTGGCTATACACCTGGAGAAAAACATGACTGAAAGGAAACAAGCACCCCAATGTTCACTGCAACACTGTTTACAATAGTCAAAACATGGAAGCAACCTAAATGTCCGTCAACAAATAAAGAAAATGTGTTGCATGCATACAACAGAATATTACTCAACCACTCAAAAGAATGAAGTAACTGAATTTGCAGCAACGTGGATGGACCTAAAAATTGTCACAGTGAATGAAATAACTCAAAGAAGTATCCTATGACATCCCTTATATATAGAAGCTAAGAAAAACGATACAAATAAACTTACTTGCCAAACAGAAAGGGACCCACAGGCTGAGAATGAACTTACGGTTGCCGGGGAAGTGCAACCGGGGAGGAGACGGGGAGTCTGGGACAGACACCTGTGATGCTCTACTCTAAACGGATCAACAAGGGTCTGCGTCACAGCACACGGAGCCCTGCTCAGCGCTACATAGCCGTCTACATGGGAGAAGAGTTTGCCGGAGAACGGATACATGTATATGTATGGTTGAGTCCTTTCCTGTTCATCTGAGACTCTCACAACACTGTTAATCATCTACGCTGCTGCTGCTAAGTCGCTTCAGTCGTGTCCGACTCTGTGTGAACCGATAGACAGCAGCCCACAGGCGCCCCCATCCCTGGGATTCTCCAGGCAAGAACACTGGAGTGGGTTGCCATTGCCTTCTCCATTAATCATCTATACTAGAATACAAAATAAAAGCTAAAATAGCTGCAGCACTGGACACTGAAAGACGTCTGTCCAGGAGCTAGACGTCGTCACCAAAGCTAAAGAGAGTGCCTGACGCACAGGAGCCTGGTCCACCTGGCTGTCCACGGCTGAGCAGACTTCAGAGGGACGGCAGGAGCTGCACAGCCAGCCCAGCTCTCGCGCGTGTCCTTCGCCGTGACCCTCGGAGTGCACCCAGCTGAGGCCCGAGGGGGCAGGCAGACCCTACCTGGGCTGGCCTGCATCCTCACTGCCTTCGGGGAAGGCCTGGGGGCACGCTCGGCCTTCTTGCCAGGAGGTTCAGTGCCCTGTGGTGGCTTGGTCCCTGTGCCCCTCCAGCTGCAGGGAGAGAAACGAGAATGCTCAGAGCTGGGGCAGGGGTGTGCATGCCGCAGGCTGCACCGAGCTCAGGCTCAGACGCGAACGCCACCAGCGGGGGCTGCGAGTGGACGAGCCAGCAGACGCCCTGCTCCATGAGGGTACGCAGATGAAACAAAGGAAAACACTTGTTAGCACTTTCTCTTTGTAAAAAAAAAAACCACCACCAGAAAACATTGGTTCCCACATTCAGACCATCTCTGAAGCTCCCAGTACCTGAGGCCGTCTCTCTGCGCCTCTGATCCCCAGCCAGCCTCTCCCACCACTTCTGCCCTCCTCTGGGCCTGGGCCTGCCTCCTCTCCTGGGCATCGCCATCGGGCGCTCTCATCTGCAGGTTGGGGGGTCCTCGTCGGAAATGCCTTTGGGGCTTCTGGACAGAGACAAGGGTCACTTGTGCGGTGATTCCATCCTGCTTCTAGGACGCTCCCCCTCCCCAGTCAGACCTGGAACCACACAGGGAGCGCTGGGGACTGGCTGAGCAGCTGCGGTTTCCTAGAGGAAATGATTTCCACTTTTCCTACGATGCGCAGCTTCAGGAGGGGCCCCTTTCTCAGCAGCTCCTGGCTCTGACGACCCGACGGAGGCTCTGCCAACGGGCGAGCGTAGCCCTGGAGGGTTGGTTAAGCCCCTGGCCAGAGCGTGTCTGGCAGTCAGACCCTAAGGGTAGCAGGGCAGGGGTGAGCCACCCCATCCCCGTCGATGGAGCCACAGAGGACCCTGCCCAGGCCTGCGCCCGGGACTCCCACCTCAGCCTCGGAAAGCTGCGGCAGAGGCGGCCGGTCAGTGACAAAGCGCTGTGGGAGGGCGCACTCGTCCTGGCTCCAGCCCAACAGGGGCTGTGACAGCGACGCCTCCAGCTCACAAGGACAGACTCGTGAATGGAAAAGCCTCTGGCTGCAGCACCCATGGACACCTTGGAGGAGGATCCAAGATACCCCCCTTCCAAGATTCAAACCCCACCGAGCCGGGCCCCCGGGTCACGAGAGCAGGTGCGGCCAAAACACAGCCCCACGGATGAAGCAGGTCTCGGGGACGAGTGCCGGCATCGGACCCAGAGAGGAGGTGCCAGCGGCCTCAGGATGCGCAGGGGCCCCAAGACTCGCTCCACAGGAGGCGTGGATGTTCACGCCTTCACTTCCAGGCCCCTCCTGGACACCAGAGCCCAGGTCATGGAGGCCGAGGTGTGGAAACCTGTCTCTCGGCGGGGAGACTGCCACGTTCTGTGTCACAGACCGTGAAGCCAATACACGAGAGTGGCCACAGAAGTGACAGAAGGAATGCGCTTGGCTCTAAAGGGAGAACTGCTCTCTCACACACAGGCCTTCCAGAGAGACGGGGTGAGAGCAGCCTCCCGTCCCTCCCAGGCACGCTGTGGGGCGTGAGGCCGGCATCAGTCCCAGAGCCTCTCCCTGGGGGCGCCTGGGCCCACTTGGACACCCCAGCCCGCGGGAGTGTGTCCCCGCACGGAGCATCCCGGGCTCTCAAAGGCCGGCTCCCTTGGTGGCGGTGGGGGGGGACTCGCCCCGGCTCTCGCTGACCCCATCACCCTCTAGGCTCCACGTGCTCCCCCGCCCACGCCTCCGGGCCCCCAGGATGAGGCCTCACCCCGCCCCACCCTTTGTGGACGGCAGGCAGCATGCACCTGCCAACTCCCAGTCCTCCCTGCTGACCCCACTGTGATGCTGAGGCCCCAGCACCTCCATCTGGGCAGGTCCAGAGTGGAGCCCCCGCCTGACCGCCCCCGGCCAGTAGCTCCCAGAGAAAAGGCTCGGTCTGTCTCACCTCCCAAGGACCCGGAGCGCCACACGGGCAGAGGACGGAGGACAGAACGGCCCTCCTCCTCTCCCCACGTCTCCTCCGTCCCACCAGCCCAGAGCAAGGAGGTCTCAGGTTAAAACCTCAGACACAGGGCAGGAAGCAGAACTCTTCCCAGTCCCTCTCAAACAGTCCACGCTGTGCTGAAGCGCTTCGGGCCTGGACCCCAGTTACGACTCCACGTTGAGTTTTCTCCAAGTACCTGAGGTGACAGCCCCGCCACGGTCTCTGGGTTCTCAGCTGCTTTCCGAGGAGCTGGCAAGACGGGAGGATTTGCTGGTCTCACCTGCCATGCTGCTGCCGACCTGCTGTCCACAGCTAAATAGGAGAATCTATTTTATCTCAAATACGCCTCAAGGCCCAGAGGAGAGCCAAAGGGTGCCGGAAACAGCACCTACACAGCCAGCACTCCTGGAAAAGGACAGGCTGGGACCTCCAAAACGGGCAGGTCAAGGAGTTCCAGAGTGGTCACATGGAAGCAAACCCTGCCCACAGCTCCTGGCAGCTTCTGTCTTTATCCCCACCCACAACTCAAACACTTGGCTTTTCTTTTTTCCACTTCAAGGAGGGCCCACGATGGCACACAGGCCATTAACTGTAGCAAGTTGCGGGGGCTCTGCAGCTTTCCTCCTCCGAGAAGCCAGGAGGGAGCTGCCCCTCCTCCCGGCACCTGCGCTTGCCTCCCAGCACTGCAGTGCACGCCAGGAAGTGCCTGCAGCGCACGCCAGGAAGTGCCTGCAGCGCAGTGCGTGCAGACTCCGCGTGTACCCTCAGACCTGGATCTCGGTGCGAGACGGCCGGGACCACACGCCGCTTGACATAGCAGACGTCTGGGAATCAGTCACACACGGCAGATTAACAGCCACCTTATAGCAGGGGACTGGGAACATTCTAGGCATCTCCTCATCTCGCTTCCTGCCAATGCGTTGAAGTGTACACCTCCCGCCGCTGCCAGATCGCTGTGCCACCCCTTAGCCAGCCCTCAGGACCCCGAGGATCACGCAGCTGGTACCTGTCCACTCATCGGCCACGTGGACATAGGACAAGAGGCCGAAGAGCATCAGGACCACCAGCAGGAAGAGGACCACCGTCCGCTGTAACCTCGACAGCTGCTTCCATTTCTGAGGGACACAAAACGACTTTTTTACTGAAAGGGGACAAGGAGTAATTCTCTCCCGCCACTTCAGACTCCGGGAGGACGAGGAGCAGTTCCCGAGGCCCAGCGTGGGGCTCTGCTGCTTCCAAACTGGGGACGTTTCCTCCAAGCGGGGACCGCAGGCTGGAGCGGTACTGCAGCCGACACCCCGCACCGGCTTCGTGGGTGCTCTTGGCTAGTAGCGCCCCACTCCATTGGAACCCCATAGACTGTAGCCCGCTAGGCGCCTGTGTCCATGGGATTTCCCGGCGAGCACCCTGGAGTGGGAAGCCACCTCCTTCTCCAGGGGGTCTCCCCGTCCCAGGGTTCGAACCCGCGTCTCCTCTCGACAGGCTGGTTCTTTACCGCCGAGCCACCTGTGAAGCCCCATTGGTCAGAGCTGGAGAAAGGAAACCCGCGCAGAGACCGTCTGTGCCCACAGTGGACGGCGGAGAGGGACCCGCAGCCCTCCTCGCCTGGGCCCCACGAAGCCGGCCGCCCTCGCGCCCGGACCCCAGACGCCGGGCCGGGGAAGCGCCGACCTGGCCGCCCGGCCCGCCCCTCACCCGCCAGCACGAGCGACGCCTCAGGCCCTGGCCGCCATCGTAGCTCCGACCGGGGCTCAGCGTCACCGAGATGAAGTCCCGACGCGCTGGCGCCGGCGGCGGGGACATGACGGCCGCGGGGGCCCGAAGGGCCTCGCCCTCCGGCGGCGTCAGGAAGCCCAGCTTCGAGCCGGGCTGAAAGACCAGTCGGTCTGAGTCGGGTGTCCGGCCATAGCGGCGCCGTCAACTCCCCGCCCATCGCGCCGCGCCGCCAATGCGCCTCTGCCGCGCCTCCGGGGCCCCACTGCGCCTGCGTCCGTTGTCGCGGCTCCGCTGAAGACAGACTCGGGTCCCACGCCGCTTGCGTCGGCTCGTGCGCGGTGACGTCACGCCCACACGGCTGCGCCTGCGCGCAGCTCACTGCCATGGCTGCCCGGCGCTGCGATAGGCTTCGTGAGGCGTTCAGGGCTGTTGAGCGGTCCTGTGCCCTCGCGCGGCTCCCCCGGGGCCTGTGGGCATCGAGGATCAGCCAGGGCTTCTCACGGCAGTGCTGGCCGCGGGCAGCTGTCCCCTGCTCCACGACGTCAGCCGGGAGCCCCTGAGCTGCGGACCCCAGGGCTGGACCCTGCCCTACCCAATCGCACCGGGTGGATTTGACCCAGTTGATGCCTGGGTGGGCAGGAAGACGCGGGGCCGCTGCGGAGTTAGGAGCCCGGGGATTTTCATCTGTCGGACCTGTCAACCGTAAAAGTAGCCAGCTGTTTGATCAGCAAAATGAGTTTGTTCGGGCATGGCGAAGGGTTTGCAGTTAAGAACGTGCAACTGTAGCAAATAATAGCTATGTCGAGACCAGGAGAGGAATATTACTTTTGTTGGTGTTTTCCAAGATCTGGCGGCCTAAGTATCGATGCTGAGTTTGATCAAATGCAGCTTTTCATGGAGACTTTATGTCCCTGTAAAACCGAACAGTTTTAACAAATTGGTGATGGCTTCCTGTGAAGAGGTTTGAGAAGAGCAGAGTAGTAAGTCGTCCCAATGCTGTCATAGCGTGGAGCGTGCAGGAAACCTTGTATCGTCCAAATCAGCCTTTAAGGCTTGTGAAAAGAAGGAATTTCAGTGAAACCTCGGGGCATTCATGTCCAGATGCGTTGTTGTCCTTCCCAAGTGGAATCTGAGAGGTCTTGGCTAGCCTTATCAGCTGGCATGCAGGCGAACCTCGTCTTATCATACTTTGCTTTATTGCACTTTGTGCATACTGTGTCTTTCAAATTGAAGGTTTGTGGCAACCCTGCATTGAACAAGTTTATGGGCACCGTTTCTCCAACAGCATTTGCTCACTTCCTGTCTCTGTGTCACATTTGGTAATTCTTGCAACTTTTCAGACACTTTTGTCACTATTATATGTTATGGTGATCTGTGGTCAGTGATTTTTGATGTTACTTTAAAATGTTATAACTTGTTAATGCTGAGCAGTTTTTTGCAATAAAGTATTTTTTAATGAAGTACATACATTGGTTTTTTAGACACAGTGCCTTTGCATGTTTAATAAACTACAGAAGAGTATAAACAACTTTTATATGCACTGGTACCAAAAGGTTTATTTGACTTGCTTTGTTGTGAGTCCTTGTTTTCAATGGTCCTGAATGAGACCCACAGTGTTCCTGTGCTAAAGAATGCACAATATAACTACAGTGAAAATTGTTGCTTTCAGCAGGAGTGAGTGCTTGCAGAGGGTGGGGGTTAAGAACAACAGGCTGTTGAGGGGCGGCAGCGTTGATTATGGCCTGCAGGTCCTGGACAGACCTCCACCCTCAGCCCCTGGGCTTCCTCACGAGTTCCGCTTAGCCGTGTTACAGGCACCATGCCCTGAGCCCTGGAACCCCGTCACGGGCTTCAAACCTGGAGGGGCTTCTCTACTTAGGGTGTTAGTTCGTTCTGGGGAGAGGATTTGAGGGACTTAAATTTGAGTCTTGACAGGAAGAGCACTGTGGCTTTTGTCAGTATCAGGTGGAGATGTTGCCCACAAGGGAGGGTGGTTGCTGATTCAATAGGAACAAATGGTCAGTGTCTCCAGAAGCAGCTACAGGGCTGAGGGGCAAAGCAAAGCAAAGGCGGTGAACAGTCAGTTCACGTTGTTGGCTATTTTGATTGTTACTGTGAATTCCTAGAATTACTTCCCCTTTTGGAAGAAAGAAATTCCAGCACGGTATTTTCTAGAATGTCTTGGCCTAATGAATGGAGGTGGAAGAATTGAGGAGAGGGAGTGGTGGGTATCTTGGTGAGCCTAAGCAAAAAGAAACAGGTTCAGAGAGGTTGAGGTTCATCAGGGACCACCACCATTTGGACCACTTTAGTTTTCCAAGACAGGGGCTACTTTACCACATAAGAGATTCATTCCCAAACTGGAAACTTGTTTCTCTGAGCTGATGATGAGCAAGGTTTGGAAAGAGCCTCATCTCTGGGGGCTAGGAGGGCGCTGGAAAGGCTGGTTGGAACCTGAGGTACTTAAGCTTGTCACAGTCTCTTTCCAGTGTCCTGGCTTTTTGCAACACTAGCAGAAACTAAAAGGGTTTTGTTAGGGACCATTATTCACCGGAGTTGAAGTTTAAGGATTTGAGAGGTCTCGCTTGGTTGAATAATGTAGGCTAAATTAGCTAAATCTGGAGTAGACATGGTTTCCTGTTTGATCCCAGTCCTTTGAACTAAAAGGCAAGGATCTTCTTTCAGCCAGTTAATGAACACAGAGCTAAAGGCTGCCTCAGTGAATCTGTTTTGAAACCAAACTCAGGTCCACTTGCCCACACACTATAGTCAGTCTCCTGATACCAAGATCAGCCTGAGGGCCAGCAGGCTGCAGCCCCTGGACGGACGCAGACCTGGGACACCCAGCGCTGCTCCACCACATTCGCTGGTCAGACAGCACACCCGCCAGGCCAGGGCTGGATCACAGCACCTTGTGTTTACTGGAAAGCCCGGCATTCTGGGAAAACTGAGCTTGTCCATCTTTCAAAACTCAGTTGCTTCAATTAGCAGCTGTCTGGGTGAGAGACGATGGGGGCACGTGGCTCCTAAGGAAGCAGGACAGAGGTGCTTGTAGCCATGGGACACCGCGGCCCACAGGGAGCCTCAGCCGGGAGAGAGGACTCAGCACGACCAGGGTCTCCTGGTCATGGCGTTCGCGCATGGCAGCAGGACAGACATTGCAGGAGACGGCGAGGTGTACCAGGGACCTCTCTGCACTGAGCGAAACCTCACGTGAAGGTGTAATTATTTGAAAATAAAAAGGTTTTGTGAAAGCAAGCTGTTTTAATAGTTTACCCGACGAGCTCGATGTGGTAGAGGTTGCCCCGTCGTGGCAGTGAGGAGCCAGGCGGGCCCCTCAACCGCCTCCTTGGTGACCCTCTGCCCCAGGCCCTCTGCTCGCCTGTGGAGCAGCTGGGGGAAGGCAAGTAAGGCACAAGTCAGGACTGATGGCAGAGCCTGGATGGGTGGAGGCGCAGTCATCCTCCGGGCCCTGGGCCTGGCCCTGGCCCCGCCGTCACGCCGGGGGTGGGAGGCGTGGACGAGCCACCCGTCCACTCCAGGCCCCTGGAAGGGTCGCTGCCACTGAAGCTCCCGGGACAGCACCCTTCCTGGGGGAGACGGCCGCACGTGGGCTGGAGGAGCGGGGCGGGGCGGGGCGGGGCGGGCCGAGCTGCGGCCGCACTTAGGACGCTCTTCACAGGAGGAGGGGGCAGGTGCCCCGTGCTGCTCTCCAGGCGGGAAGCAGGCAGGGCCCGAGGCCAGAGCCAGCCGGCTTCTCCCCGCCTTGAGCAGGCCGGGGGTGTGCAGTGAGGGGCTGTGCCCACCCCTTCCTGGGGGGCTGTCGGGGGAAGGAGTGTGAGCACTGAGTTGTCAGAAGCTCCCTATAGGCATGGGGTGGCGGCGAGGTGGGGCACCCTCCATGGGTTCCACTGTTTTCTGGGGGCTGAGGCCTTGGACGGAACTTGAGAGAACCCTGCCAGGCATTCAGGCCAAGCTTCCCAGAGAGCCAGCTCCGGACCTGCTGTGGGCCTCAGCCGGGCAGGGAAGGCGTGCCAGGTTGTGACCCACAGGCTCAGCTGTCCCTCCCAACATGGAGCCCTGCAGGCACTGCCGTCCCCTCATCTCTGCAGAAAAGCACAGCGTGGCTGCTGCTGCTCCCGCCAGACGGGTGTGCAGGGGCCCAGGAGCCCCCTCAGCTGACAGGCCCGTGCGCCTCTCAGTACCTTCCACACCCGTCTTGGCCCCACCCCAGTGCCCTCAGTCCCTCTGCCTCCATCCTGGATGCCGCAGCAGGAGTGAAGCCAGAGCGCCCCAGGGGCCCCGCAGGCCTGGGGTCACCTGGCTCCCGGGGACGGGGTGGCGGGAGGCCTCCCACCCCGGTGGAGGGGGCCCGCTCCCTTCTGGGCTCCCCGGCCTGCAGCCAGAATCGCAGAGCAGCTCTCCTGCCCGGAGCCCAGGCAGGGCTGCGTACTGAGCCTTGGGCCCCGGGGTTGGCGGGGGTCAGGGCTGCAGCTCCCTGGCCATGGCCTCGTCCAGGATGAGTGGGGGCCGGAACTCGCGACCTCGCAGGTACTCCTCCAGCCCCTGGAGACAAGCAGGTCGTGATGACCGGATCCCACGTCCTGGTCCACCGGGCGAGGCCCCAGGTCGGCCCGGAGCCAGCGGGTGGCAGGGCCGGAGAGGCTTCTGGGAGCAAGGGCTGGATGCCACCTGGGTCCCCGGGCCCACGCGGCCCTCCCACAGGGCCAGCCAGAACTGCCCACGGGAGGCAGGGCAGCTGTCCTCCCACTGAGAGGCTCCCACTGGCTCAAACCCCAGGCCCAAATGGACCTGCTCTGCCTTCCCCAACCCTTCCAGGCTTCTGACAGCTCGCTGCATGCCAGGTCTTGGACAGTCCTCTGCCACTGAGGGACCGCTGACCCTGCCAGTCGACCATGGCAGAGCTGTGACTTCCCAGGCAAGCGCCCAGCTCACCCTGCCCCGTCCGACCCGGCCAACCCAACCCCAGGGGAGCCCCCGCTGGCTGGCCGGCTCTTACCTCTCCAGCGTATGACACCAAGGGTGAGATCTCACAGATGGCCGGAGGCTCCGTGCTGCCAGGCAGGCTGAGGGGTGCATGCGTCAGCGTCAGCTCAGGGTCCTGTCCCAGCACCTTCCCTGGCCCCACCCACCAGGGAGCTGGCCAGTTCATGCCCACCCACAGCCCTCCTCCAGGCAACCGCCTCTTCCTCTAAACACCCGGCCCCGGGCATCGCCCCAGAACAACAGGCCCTGACTTGGTCTGGAAAACCCTCCTTGCCCCCTGCAGGCATCTCACAGCCTGGATAGCCAGACTCAGGAGGTGGCTGTGGGCTCTGGGGTGGAAGCTAAGTTCCTGTTCTTTCCCCACCCTGGAAAGTGGCCTGCCTGCTGCTTTCTGGGTGCCCCGCCTGGGAAGGTGCAACCCTCACGTCCCCGGGGCCCTGAGCAGACCTCGAGGGCCGGGCACACGGCCACCTGCTTTCAGTGTGGTGCCAGGGTAGCAGCTCCCACCCCAGCTCAGCAGCCACGCCAGCAGGGCCCCGGGGTGAGGCTTGGGCTGTAACACCCTGACACCACTGTCCGGGCCACACTCACCTGGGCTGCTCGGGAAGCTGGGCCCCGTGCACGTCCAGGAAGCGGGCGCCCGCCCGCAGGGCCCACCGGCAGTGCTGGGCGAGCAGGGCCCGCCGGGACGTGGAGGGGCTGTCCCTGTCTGCCGAGTCGGCGTTCTTGAGGGGGGAGAACTCCTCCTCCCGCAGCACTTGGAAGGCCACGAAGTTCCTGGAGGGGGGGGAGACAGCTGCAGACCCGATGTGCTGGCCCAGACGGCCTGGGCCCTAGCAGCTGAAAGCCCGGCCGGAGTAACGCAGACTACGTGGGGGTCTGTTCTCTGGGCCCCCGGTCACACATTGAGTCTTTATTCCAAGACCCTGGAGTCATCTTTGGTCCTATCTTCCCTCCCCTTCCCACCAGCCTGACCCCCAGAACCTGGGACCCCAGTTGGAGGCCACCTACCCTGGGAGCTCCAGCTATTTCCCCTGGAAACAACTTCAGGGCCCCAGGCCAGGGCAGAGGGGGGCTCATGAGGAAGCACAGGTGTCTCCCCAAGTCCACAACCCCGAGGGTCCGACTGCCCTAGATGCGCCCTCCGCTCCCGCCCCAGGGACTGCTTCCTTTAGGCTTCTCGCACCAAAACCCGCCTGCAGCCCCCCAGCCCCCCTGTGAAGGGGCATCTCCATCTCCCTGACTGTCGGGCACGGGGGGCAGGAACAAACACGGCTTCTGCACTGACTTGGCAAACGGGAGCACGTCGAACACGAACTTCTCCATCTTGATCCCGTTCGGCTGGAGCGGCTTCACCGGGTTCCCGTGCTCGTCCACACAGGGCACCTTCTTCACGGCCACGTGTGGCTGCAGCAGGTGCTCGAGTTCCCTGGGGACGCGAGGCCCACAGGAGGTAAGACACAGTTCAGACAGGACGCCTCGGGGCCCCAGCCTGCCTCCCGCACGCCTGGCCAGGCAGGGCACCTGGACAGACGGACACAGCGGACACAGGGCTCTGAGGGCCCAGCTGAGCCCTGTCTCTGCAGAGCCAGAGAGCCGGCCACCATCAGCCTCACCCCTGCCCAGGCACAGAGGCAGCGGCAAGCCCCAGGGTGGAGGTGGGCAAGCCCCGGGGTGGGCGGCACCCACCAGCACAGCCTCTCCACAGGAGGGCCAGGCCCACTCGGCCGCACTGGCTGCCGAGCTCTCTGGTGCCTCCAGCTTGTTTAAACTCAAGAGCCCTTCTGCACTGCAACCCACAGCAGCTCAGGTCTGCCCCCAGGCCCTGCAGCCAGGCTGGCCGGGAAGCCACCTGCCACGCACACCTGGTGACCATCCGGAGGAAGTCTCGGGTGAAGAAGTGGTTGCAGATGTTGCCTGCGTTGTACAGCAGACCCCCACCTGGCGCGCGCAGCTGCGCCACCTCGGGGCTGATCTCGCTGTACTCCACCACCTGGGGGACGCCGTCCACCTGGCACACCACGCCCACCGGCTCCTCAGGATACGCCTTCTCCACCACCTGCAGCCGCGACAGGGGATAGATGCCTGACTGGGCCGATAAACTCACTCACTGGGGCGGGACCGGGCAGGGAGGGCGGGGCTGGGCGGAGGGCGGAGCTGGAGGAGGAGGCGGGGTCAGGGCCGGAGGAGGAGTCAGGGCAGGGCAGGGCGGGGCGCGCGCCGGCTCACCTTGGCTCCGCAGTCGGCGCCCCGCAGCACGCAAAAGCCTATGAAGACCGGGTCGGCCAGCCGCACCAGGATGTTGTCCACACAGTACACGTGCACGAACTCCACTCCTCGCCGCTCCATGTCCTCTAGGATCTGGTGGTCCTCCAGCGCGCTGTACAGGCCCCCATTGCCATCTGCCAACGGAGAAGAAAGGGCCTTGCACGGGCTCCGGCCGGCCTCCAGTTGATGGTGTGCTAGAGACAGGGGAGGCCCCTCGGGGCTGGACCTTGCGCCTAAGGACGCGCTCTATCGCTATCCAAGTAGCCCTGTGACTGTTCCACGTGACAGATGGGAATCAAGGCCCAGAGAAGGGAGTCCACTTGCTCAGGACTACACAGCCTCTGGGCAGCATATTCTGGCCTCTGTGCCGGGCCTCTTGACCCCGAGCTAGCTCCACATTCTCGGCCAGGCAGACCCTTCCTGCCTCAGAGACGGGGGCGTACCTGGCGCCATGGCGACCTTGTCTTTCCTCTCCAGGATGGCCCTGCCATCGAAGGTCACAGCAGGCAGCATGCGCTGTTCAAACATGATCACGTTGTTGGGATCCAAGTGGAAAAAGTCATGCTCCTTGAAGAACCTGGCCGTGGGCCCCAGCGTGAACTCACTGGTCATGATGTACCTGCAAGGGAGGCGAGGTTGAGCCAGCCTTGCGGAGGGCCTGGTCCCCCTGGCAGATGGGGCTGGCAGGCCTCCCTCTGGGTGGGGGCTGGGCTCAGCCTGGGGCTGTGCTGGGGTTCAAGTCCCGGTGCGGAGCAGGACTGGGGCTACACAAGGTGGGGGACGGGGAATCACTCTAGGGCCCAGGGAGTGCAAGCGGGGGCACACCAGGGCACGGTGCAGCGGGTCCCGTGGCGCTCGCCGGCCAGCTGCTCCACCCGCCGGATCCGTTCTGCCTGCAGCTGGTACAGGGTCTTCTGGCTGGGCAGCCCCACCTGATACATGCCCTTGGGGTAGGTCACGCCCAGGCGGGTGCCCTGCCCACCGGCCAGCAGAAGCACGGCCACCTTGTTCAGGGCGATCTGATGGAGACCTGGAGGCAGGGGGCACCATGAGGGGTTCCTGAAACCCAGCACGCAACCACCGCTTCGTTTTAGCGCAAACCGAACGAGCCTGGGACTGCGAGCCACAGCGCACAACTTTCCAGATGACACTCTGACCTGGGCCGGGGCCTTAGCCACCCCTAACCTTACCCCGACCCCGCCGAGGTTCTGGCCACGCCCTCCTGAGTCCTTCAGAGGAAACACCCCGTGGGCCTGTTCGGACCCGGGCCGACTCCCCTCCAAGCGCAACAGCCTCAGCTACGGGCCCAGAGGCAAGGAGCACAGATCGCCAACGCTGCTGTGAAAAGGAGCCTGTGCAAGCGTCCAGGGGTCCCCTGCTGTTAGTTAGCGGCAGCTGGCCATCCAGGGGCGCCCAGCACGAAGCAGAGCCCCCGGGAATTCGGCCTGGGGGCGGCGGCCCGAGAACCAGCCCGAGCCGGTACTCGCGAGACGGCAGGCGATTTCACGAAGAAGGCAAACTGAGCTCCAATCTCCGCTTCCCCGCTCGGCCCGCTCCGTGGGCGTGGCCCCTTCCGGCCGCCCGCGGCACCCGCCGCCCGGACCCCCACCGCCTACCTTCCTCCTCCCAGAGCCGCCGGGTCTGCGGGTCACCCTCGCTCGCGCTGCCCACGCGCTCAGGAGGTAGGGGCTGCAGCCGCGCAGCCAGGTCGGGCGGCGGGCCCGGGGGACGCGCGCAGGCGGCAGCCGCGCGCTGGCAGTGCTGGCGCAGCGCCTCGGGCTCCAGGGCCTCGAGTTGGGCCAGCAGCGCGGCGCGGGGCTCCGGCGCCAGCTCGGCGCAGAAGCGCAGGAGGTGCTGCTGGCCGGCGCGCTGCAGTCGGGCGCGCAGGTCCGCCTCCGAGGCCATGTTGCCGCCACAGCCCCCGCCGGCCGCGCTGGCGCTTGTGACCCGCGCACTCCGGCTGGTGTCACGGGACCCGGCGGGCGGCCCCGACTCCAGCCGGGCGGGCCCGGGGCGCCCCGCCTTGACCCCGCCCCGGACCGGCCCGGCCGGGTCGCAGACCCCGGCCCACTCCTCCTCTCTTCCGCCCCCGACCCGCCCCGCCCCGCCACTCTTCAGCCCCGGAGGCCGCTCCGAACCCCGCCCCTGCCTGCGCTGGCGCTGGAGGGCGGGCTTAACTTTTAGTACACCTCCTAGCCCACAGCCCCCAGGGGAGGCTAGGGTCCGTCCCTGCCAGTGGCCATGTTTGCGTCTACCAGGACACCTCGCGCCAGGGACCACAGTCCGGGGGCTCAGGGCCGGCAGACTGAGGGCTGGGCGGGGGCGGACAGAGCCAGATCACCAGCAGGGCCCCCCAGAAGGCCAACCTTCCCGCCAGTGGGCCCCCTCCTTCCCATTCCTCCTCCTTCCCATTGCCGTGTGACCGGAAGCACGCAGGGGCTGCCCCTCGCACTGCCTTTTCCCTTTAACCACCAGGTTTTAAACCTCTTGCTGTTTACAGCCTCCTTGGTGAAAAATATGAAAGAGTAGCTTCAGGCACTAGGGGACAAAATATTCTTTTAGAAACTAGTTTCATTAAGTCTAAAAGTCATAGGTACCCATGGTTAAAACAAGTTAAAATGGTGCTTGGGACCTGAAATGAAAAGATCTCTGGGACTTCCCTGGTGGTCCAGAGGCTAAGACTCTGATCTCCTGATGCAGGGAGGCTGAGTTCAAATCCCCGGGCAGGGAACTAAGATCCCACACGCTCCAACTAAAGATCCCAGATAGTTGTTCAGTCATCAGTCGTGTCTGTCAGTGACCCCACAGACTGCAGCACGCCAGGCTCCTCTCCTCGAGTTTGCTCAAATTCATGTCCATTGAGTCCATGATACTATCTAACCATCTCATCCTCTGCCACCATATTCTCCTCCTGCCCTCCATCTTTCCCAGCATCAGGGTCTTTTCCAATAAATTGGCCAAAGTACTGGAGATTCAGCTTCAGCGTCAGTCCTTCCAGTGAACATCCAGGGTTGATTTCCTTTAGGATGGACTGGTTTGATCTCCTTGCAGTTGAAGGGACTCTCAACAGTCTTCTCCGTCGCCACAGCCCAAAAGCATCATTTTTTTCTGCTCTCGGCCTTCTTTATGGTTCAACTCTCACATCCATACATGACCATTATAGCTTTGACTGTATAAACCTTTGTCGGCAAAGTGATGTCTCTGCTTTTTAATACACTGTCTAGGTTTGTCATAGCTTTCCTTCCAAGGAGCAAGCATCTTTTAATTAATTTCATGGCTGCAGTCACCATCCACAGTGATTTTGGAGCCCAAGAAAAGAAAATATGTCACTGCTTCCACTTTTCCCCTTCTATCTGCCATGAAGTGATGGGACTAGATGCCATAATCTTAGCTTTTGTTTCTGTTGTTTTTTAATGTTGAGTTTCATGCCGGCTTTTTCACTCTTTCACCTTCATCAAGAGGCTCTTTAGTTTCTCTTCACTTTCTGCCATTAGCATGGTATCATCCGCATATCTGAGGTTGCTGATTTCTCCTGGAAACCTTGATTCCAGCTTGTGATTCATCCAGTCCAGCACTTCCCAAGATGTACTCTGCATTTAAGTTAAATAAGCAGGGTGACGATATATAGCCTTGCTGTATTCCTTTCCCAATTTTGAACCAGTCAGTTGTTCTGTGTCTGGTTCTAACTGTTGCTTCTTCTTCCTTTTCTTTTATTTATTTACTTTTGGGTATGCTGGGTCTTCACTGCTGCATGGGCTTTTCTCTAGTTTCAGAGAGCGGGGTCCACTTTCTAGTTGCAGTGCATGAGTCTCTCACTGTGGTGGCTTTTCTTGCAGAGCACAGGCTTTAGGGTGCTCGGGCTTCAGTAGCTGCCGCTTCCAGGCTCTAGAGCACAGGCTCAATAGCTGTGGTGCGCAAGCTTAGTAGCTCTGCAGCATGTGGGATCTTCACAGAGCAGGGATGGAACCAGAGTCTCCTGAATTGGCAGCCTGATTCTTTACCACTGAGCCATCACGGAAGCCCTAACTGTTGCTTCTTGACCTGCATACAGGTTTCTGAGGATACAAGTAAGGTGTTCTGGTATGCCCATCTCTTTTAAGAACGGTCCACAATTTGTTGTGATCCACACAAAGGCTTTAGCATAGTCAATAAAACACAAGTAGATGTTTTTTCTGGAATTCACTTGCTTTCTCCATGATCAAATGAATGCTGGTAATTTGATTTCTGGTTCCTCTGCCTCTTGGAAATCCAGCTTGTACACCTGGAAGTTCTCCATTCACATACTGCTGAAATCTAGTTTGAAGGATTTTACCTTGCTAGCATGTGAGATGAGTGCTATTGTGTGGTAGTTTGAACATTCTTTGGCATTGCCCTTCTTTGAGACTGGAATAAACACTTAACCTTCTCCAGTCCTGGGGCCACTGCTGAGTTTTCCAAATTTGCTGGCATATTGAGTGCAGCACTCTCACAGCATCATCTTTTAGGACTTGAAGTAGTTCAACTGGAATTCCGTCCCCTCCACTAGCTTTATTCATGGTAGTGCTTCTGAAGGCTCATTTGACTTCACACTGCAGGGTGTCTGGCTCTAGGGAAGTGACCACACCATCGTGGTTTTCCAACTTACAGTTCTTCAGTGTATTCTTGCCACTTCTTAATCTTTCCTCCTTCTCTTAGGTACTTACTATTTTTGTCCTTTACTGTGCCCATCCTTGCATGAAATGTTTTCCTGCTATCTCCAGTTTTATTGAAGAGATCTTTAGTCTTTCCCATTTTGTTGTTTTCTTCTGTTTCTTTGCATTGTTCATTTAAGAAGGCTTTCTTATCTCTCCTTGCTATTCTCTGAAATTCTGCATTCAGTTGGGCATATTTTCCCCTTTCTCCCTTGCCTTTCACTTCTCTTCTTTCCTCAGCTATTTGTAAAGCCTCCTCAGACAACCACTTTGCCTTCTTGTATTTCTTTTTCTTTGGGGATGATTTCGGTCACTGCCTCCTGTACCATCCCGCATGCCACAATGAAAGATCCTGCATGCCGCAACTAAGACCCAGTGCAGCAGGAAGGAGACAGACAAAGAAAGAAAGAAAAGAAAAGAAAAACCTCCTCCAGCCTGTCCAGCGAACACCTGTTAAGGTACGAGCCCCATCCCTTCCAAGTACCCTTCCTGGGTTAGGAAGCAGAGCTTAACAGCCTCTTGAGGGCCCCTGCACTTGCTCGGGACCTGAAAGAAGTGGGCCTGCCTCAGGGCCTTTGCACCTGAATGGCTTGTTTTCAGAAAGTCAGAGGACTCCCTGCTCCACTTTGCTAGATCTCTGCTCACAAGTCACACTTGGGGAGACCCTTCTATCTTTTTCTGTTCCTCCTTGCCTTTCTGCACCCTCCCCTGCCCGGCTTCCCCATGGGAATTGAACTCCCTGAGAGCTGGCTGTTGTCTGGTTCACTGCTGTGTGCCATCACTTGATCCATGACCAGCACACAGTGGACAGTCAGCCAACGCGTGTTAATGGAATGGTCGTGCTGGGCCCCAGGCCTAGCACCGTGACTGGGCCGGACGGCTGTGCGGGTGCACGTGCTGCGTGAGGGGCTGGTCCGCTCCGTCAGTCTGTGGCCCTGAAGGGTCTGCGGTGGGTGCTTCAGGTGGACAGTGTGCGTGGGAGACTGGGACTCAGCTGAGGTCAGAAGGATTTGGACAGTTGAGGCCACATAGCTGGAGGTACCTGCAGGGCCAAGAGTAGCAGGGCCGGCCCACCTGGGCAGAGGGGGCATTGACAAACGGGGGTACCTAGGAGGCGCAGGTGGGTGACAGCTTCTCGGGCCACCTGCCAAGGGCAGCAGAGGATGGCGTGGTCAGTGCCCCTGCCCGCTCCAAAGAGCTCCTGGCTGCCACAGAGAAAATTACGAGGGTGGGTACCTCACAAGTTTAAAGGCCACAGAGGACCTGCCTGGCCTGGGCCTCTGGGAAGCCTCCCCCATCCCCCACCAGGGTGACAGCAAACCTGAAAGCTACAGGTGGGAAGGTGTTGGGCAGGTTGGAAAGCAACACGGAAGGAGGAAGCGATCAGAGTTCAGGATCAGAAAGACATGGGGACCACGCCTTAGTCCCACGTCCAGAGCTGGCACTGACTCCAGCTTCCCCATGCCTTTCTCCAGTGCTTAGTGAGGGGCCATCCGAACACCCATGGACCAGGAGCCAGCAGGGCTCACCTTTTTCACGGCTCTAGAAGCCCTGCGGGGCTTTTGCTTCCTTGGCACAGAGGGCTCAGGCTCACAAGGGCCATGGCCTAGCCTGGGTCCCGCTGGGCATGCAGTCTGAGAGGCAGCAGCATTGCCCGCTGCCAGCCACTGGCCTCCACACCCACGCTAACCCCACAGAGCTGTCCCCAGGCCACCCCTCCACAGGCCTCGCCCTGGTTCAGCGTCCCACCCAAAGATGCTCTTTCCACTGCAACCTCCAGGAAGGTTTCCACTGAGCACCACTGTGGACCAAAGAGCACAGGGCCCAGCCAGGAGTGCAGAAGGGCGTTCCTGGCAGGAGAGCCCCCGAGTGCAGAGACTCAGAGCTGAAGTCACGCCAGGACCCTGAGCACAGGGGACTGGGGTGGGGTGCGGGATGGTTGCTGGAAGCAGAGAAGGAAGGGGAGATGGACTGCAGGACAAAAGACCTGAATGCCTCTGGGGACTTTGGCTGGTCCTGTCACTAAAGGGAAAGGCAGGGACAGACCAGTCTCCATGGGGTGACTCTAGGCTCACAGCTTTCTAGGTACCCCCCAAATTCCTCACCATAAAAGAGTCCTCACTTTGAGGGGTAACCCCAAGGGAGAAGTGGACCCAGGACACTCCCTGGCCAGGGCAGCTGCCCTTACAACAGCTTGAGACTCAGACCAGTGCCTGGGGCCCAGGGACACAGAGGCACAGGTAGGCAGGCCAGCCACAGGGTGGAGCCCATCCCCGCACCAGGAGCCTGTCTGGAGGAGGTGGTCGTCAACTCTTTGTTCTTTTACCTGCCGAGGTAAACAGTCTTCTTCTAAAGCAGCAGATAACTCGAGTGCTCTGTTCAGTGGCAAAGTGGGGTATCAGTTACATGGAGAAGACCATCAGTGGAGGAAAGGGAGCAGGGCAGAGCCTCAGGTCAGGCTAAGGGGAGGGCAGGGTCCCAAGCAGGCAGCATCTTGGGTCCTTCCCTGATTTGGGGAAGGTCCCATCAGTGGGCCCTGAGATGAGCCCCTCCCAGAGTGACCAGGGAATGAAGCAGGGGCAGTGGGCAGGATGCGAGGGGGTGCACAGGCCTGCCTAACTGGCTTCAGGGGGGCGTGAGCGCTCTGGTTGCAGCCGGAGGATGTGTCCAGCCAGAGGAAGGGGCCAGAGCAGAGGCCCTTATGAGCACACGGGAATCTGGGGACACAGGAGAAGTGGCTTTGTCCTGCGGCCGGCAGGAAAGGCCAGGCTGTCCCAAGGGGCCCGGCGGAGGAGCTAGCACTGGTGGGGACAGAGAAGCTTCTGTGAGCGGAAGCGCCCAGCTGGCTGGAGCCCACAATCCCCTCGGGGCCCGCCTGGCGCAAGAGAAAGGAGCCCCAGGGCTGCGCCGAGGGACACTCAGCGAAGAGCGCGCAGGGCAGCTCGAGGGGGAAGGGGGGGCTCCCTGGAGGGCTGCTCTCCCCCTTACCCCGGGAGGCCATCTGGGGACAGGTTACCGCCGGCCGCGGGCCCCGCCCTCCGGAAGGTGGGCTGGGCGGCCAAAGCCAGCGAGGTCGGGACCGCGGAGGGAGCGGCTGGCGTGGTGGGGACTGGGGTGTCTACGGGGGTGTTCGGGGGTCCCGCCCCCACCCGCAAGCTCAGGAGGGAGGCGGACTTGGGGGACCCCGCCCCGTGCCGCCGGGCGCCTCCGCGCGCCCCCGGCCCCTCTGGGCACGGCGGGAGCGCGCGAGCCACCGGCCCCTCCACCGGAAAATCAAACCGGGGCTGCCGGCCTCTCAGCCAATCAGAGAGGAGACCAGCTAGCCTCGGCCAATGGCTGCCGAGAATGCTAATAAGCGCTGACGCCACGGAGAGGCCCATTCAAAAAGTCGCCGCTATTGTCGCGGCGGGTCGCGCGCCGCCGGGCCCGCCGTCGGGCCGCGCGGAGGCCGACCCGGGGCGGCCCGAGGCCCGAGCGCTGCGGGCGAGCGCCCATGGCCGGAGCCGCCATGGCCGAGACGGGCGGCGGGCCGCCTCCGGCGCCCGGCACGGAGGGGCTGCCGCGCGCCTTCCTGCAGAGCCTGCGCACGCTCTTCGACATCCTGGACGACCGGCGGCGCGGCCTCGTGCACCTGCGGGAGATCGAGTCCCGCTGGCGGGGCGCTGACGCGCGCGAGCTGCCCCGCGGCGTGCTGGAGGGCCTGCGCCAGGTGGCCCCGGCCAGCGGCTACTTAACCTTCGAGCGCTTCGTGGCCGGCCTGCGCACCGCGCTGCCCAGCGCCGGCGGCGGCACGCGGGCCCCCGCACGCGCCCCGGCCCGGGGAGGCTGCTTGGCGCCGCCCGCGGGCCAGCCGCCGCCCCAGAGCCTGGTGTTCGCGCCGGCCGACGAGCCGCGGACGGTCCTGGAGAGGAAGCCCCTGCTCCTGGGCGCGCGCCTCCCGCCGGCTGGCCCAGGCGTCGCGAGTCGGAATGTGGAGAAACCGTGCGGCCCGGTGGAGGCGGCGCCCGGTCCGGCGGAGCCCGAGCGGCCCCAGGGTGCGGCGCTGGAGCGGAGCCCGAGCAAGGACTCTGGTGAGTGCGGGGCGGCCCCCGGGCCCGCCCCGTAGCTCCCCGCGGGCTTGTGAACCTGGGTCACCCCGGCTTCCTGGAGGGAAAGAAGTTCCTCCGCACCTCGGGTGCTCGGGGACACGGCCAAGGAGCTGGTGGGAGCCCCCGCAGACCCCACCAGGATTCCACTTCGAGCTAAACCCGAGCGGGGAGCCGTTTCAGTCTGAGGGCTCTCCACCTCAGTACTTGCCCACACCCGGGCCCTTGGTCTCATCTGGTGAGTCAGGCATAGGCGGTTCTCACTGGTGTCGAGGGAGGGTCCCCAGACTGTGAAGGGCCTTTGCCGCCTCCTTGGGTCCTTCTCGGTCTAGCAGCTCAGCGGAGAGGCCTGGGCGCACCGCCCCCGTGAGGCCAGGGCCGGCTGGAGTTGCCAGGCGTGATGCAGGAGGACCTGGCCCCAGAAAGGGCAGAGAGTGGAGGGTCTCCAGCCGGGTCTTCCAGGCCTGGAGCCTTGGCGCCTCTGACACCTGGGAGGGATCAACCACATCCCCTGGGGATGGCCCAGCTTCTGGTCCAGTTGGCAGGGACAGGGCATGACTGAATGGTCCCCTGTTTATCCCCCAGAGAGCCTGCCCTGGGAACAAGACTGGCATTATGGGGGAGGGGGGCGGGGCTCCTCGGCCCATTCAGCCTGGGCAGGTGCAGGCCTTCTGCTGGGCAGCTGCTGCCATTTCCATACTGCCCACCACTCTGCCAGCCTCGCTGGACCCCCTGCCCAGGCTCAGACATACTCCCCCAACCCCATGACTGCCAGCTGGAGCTGCGGTGGCCCCCGCCTCCCTGTCGAGCCCATCGGATCCTTGGCTAGGGGCTCCTGAATCCAGGCTCCTCGCCGCCCAGCCTCCACGTCCCCCCGGGTGTGAAGGGGAAGCGGGCTTCTGGGCCTGCAGCCCTGAGTGCGGCCCGTGCTGTCCGCGTGGTTGCATGCGGTTGGGAATCCGCCATGGGACTGGGGTTTGCAGCCTCAGGCCTGTCGTCACACCAGGTCCATCACTGCAGTGCTCTAAGGTTCAGCTCCGGCGTCCACTGTCACCTTTCACTGGCCGAGGCCCAGACGGGGCTCATGACATACTGTTTGGGTACAAAACCTGGAGGTCCGAGAATCCTTAGCACCGCAGGAAGAGAAAGCTGCCCCATGTTCACAGCCCCCCAAGCCCTCCCCGCCATCCAGGCCCTCCTTCCTGTTTCTTGTTGGGGTTCAGTATGCACCCCAAGCTGGCCTTGAGCCCCATAGGTACAGGCTGCTAGATCCTGCTCATATGGGGTGGGGTGGGGTGGGGTGGGGTGGGGTGGGGCGGGGTCAGGGATGCCTCTCCCTGACGGGCCTCCAGCCTGCTGTCATCTGGGGGCCCTGGGCTGCAGACCTGATGATGCAGACCAGCCCGGGTGTTCCGGGGTGCCCCCAGCACCCCTCTGCTATGCCTTCTCTGCCTGTAGCGCAGCTCGGCAGGTTGGAACGTGAACTCAACCTGCCTGGAGCCGGTCTGCCAGGGCTGGCTGGTTGGAGCCGGTCTGCCAGGGCTGGCTGGTGGCCCACGTGACCACCTGGTGCCAGCCCTCCGGATGTGTCCCTGTCAGACATACCTGTGCCTGCTTCTTGCATCACCTGCCCACTGCCGTGCCAGGCAGGGTATAGGGCTCGGGAGCCCAGGGAGGGCGCCCTCTTCACCTGCACCCCACTCCCCCCTCACAGGCAGCTCTGCTCACCCTCCCTGTCCTCCAGGGAAGCTGGTGGCCCTCCAGGAGGTCTGCCCAGGGAAGCCCCTGGCTTTCTGGCTGCACGCCAACTCTGCGGGTGGCCGCGTGTGCATAGGAGTTACTGCTGGGGCTCCGCTGGTGCAGGTATGCAGGGACCGTGCTGTAGTCTCCCTGGGAGAACGCTGGGCTCTGCTACCTATATGTCCTACATTCCTCCTGGTTGAACTCCGTGCGTGCTAAGTCGCTTCAGGCATGTCTTACTCTTCGCAACCCCATGAGCTGTAGTCCACCGGGCTCTTCTGTCCCTGGATTTCTCCAGGCAAGAATACTGCAGTGGGTTGCCATCCCCTCCTCCAGGGGATCTTCCTGACCCAGGGACTGAACCGAGTCTTTTTGTGTCTCCTGCATTGGCTGGCAGGTTCTTTACCACCAGCACCACCTGGGAAGCCCCAGCCACCCTTAAAGGGCCCGGGTGGACAAGGAGAGGGGAGTGGAGGCCAGAAGTCACCTTGCTGGCTCCAAGTCCAGCAGCGTTTGGGCCCCTGAGGTGTGGGCCCTGGGTGTGCGGGACGAGTGAGGTGGGGCCCCTGCACCCAGCTTTTGGGCCCCTGAGGTGTGGGCCCTGGGTGTGCGGGACGAGTGAGGTGCCCTGAGGTGTGGGCCCTGGGTGTGCGGGACGAGTGAGGTGCCCTGAGGTGTGGGCCCTGGGTGTGCGGGACGAGTGAGGTGCCCTGAGGTGTGGGCCCTGGGTGTGCGGGACGAGTGAGATGCCCTGAGGTGTGGGCCCTGGGTGTGCAGGACGAGTGAGGTGCCCTGAGGTGTGGGCCCTGGGTGTGCGGGACGAGTGAGGTGGGGCCCCTGCACCCAGCTTTTGGGCCCCTGAGGTGTGGGCCCTGGGTGTGCGGGACGAGTGAGGTGCCCTGAGGTGTGGGCCCTGGGTGTGCGGGACGAGTGAGGTGCCCTGAGGTGTGGGCCCTGGGTGTGCGGGACGAGTGAGGTGCCCTGAGGTGTGGGCCCTGGGTGTGCAGGACGAGTGAGGTGCCCTGAGGTGTGGACCCTGGGTGTGCAGGAGTGAGATGCCCTGAGGTGTGGGCCCTGGGTGTGCGGGACGAGTGAGGTGGGGCCCCTGCACCCAGCTTTTGGGCCCCTGAGGTGTGGGCCCTGGGTGTGCGGGACGAGTGAGGTGCCCTGAGGTGTGGGCCCTGGGTGTGCGGGACGAGTGAGGTGCCCTGAGGTGTGGGCCCTGGGTGTGCGGGACGAGTGAGGTGGGGCCCCTGCACCCAGCTTTTGGGCCCCTGAGGTGTGGGCCCTGGGTGTGCGGGACGAGTGAGGTGCCCTGAGGTGTGGGCCCTGGGTGTGCGGGACGAGTGAGGTGGGGCCCCTGCACCCAGCTTTTGGGCCCCTGAGGTGTGGGCCCTGGGTGTGCGGGACGAGTGAGGTGCCCTGAGGTGTGGGCCCTGGGTGTGCGGGACGAGTGAGGTGCCCTGAGGTGTGGGCCCTGGGTGTGCGGGACGAGTGAGGTGCCCTGAGGTGTGGGCCCTGGGTGTGCAGGACGAGTGAGGTGCCCTGAGGTGTGGACCCTGGGTGTGCAGGAGTGAGATGCCCTGAGGTGTGGGCCCTGGGTGTGCGGGACGAGTGAGGTGGGGCCCCTGCACCCAGCTTTTGGGCCCCTGAGGTGTGGGCCCTGGGTGTGCGGGACGAGTGAGGTGCCCTGAGGTGTGGGCCCTGGGTGTGCGGGACGAGTGAGGTGCCCTGAGGTGTGGGCCCTGGGTGTGCGGGACGAGTGAGGTGGGGCCCCTGCACCCAGCTTTTGGGCCCCTGAGGTGTGGGCCCTGGGTGTGCGGGACGAGTGAGGTGCCCTGAGGTGTGGGCCCTGGGTGTGCGGGACGAGTGAGGTGCCCTGAGGTGTGGGCCCTGGGTGTGCGGGACGAGTGAGGTGGGGCCCCTGCACCCAGCTTTTGGGCCCCTGAGGTGTGGGCCCTGGGTGTGCGGGACGAGTGAGGTGCCCTGAGGTGTGGGCCCTGGGTGTGCAGGACGAGTGAGGTGCCCTGAGGTGTGGGCCCTGGGTGTGCGGGACGAGTGAGGTGCCCTGAGGTGTGGGCCCTGGGTGTGCGGGACGAGTGAGATGCCCTGAGGTGTGGGCCCTGGGTGTGCAGGACGAGTGAGGTGCCCTGAGGTGTGGGCCCTGGGTGTGCGGGACGAGTGAGGTGCCCTGAGGTGTGGGCCCTGGGTGTGCGGGACGAGTGAGGTGCCCTGAGGTGTGGGCCCTGGGTGTGCGGGACGAGTGAGGTTCCCTGAGGTGTGGGCCCTGGGTGTGCGGGACGAGTGAGGTGCCCTGAGGTGTGGGCCCAGGGTGTGCGGGACGAGTGAGGTGCCCTGAGGTGTGGGCCCTGGGTGTGCGGGACGAGTGAGGTGCCCTGAGGTGTGGGCCCTGGGTGTGCGGGACGAGTGAGGTGCCCTGAGGTGTGGGCCCTGGGTGTGCGGGACGAGTGAGGTTCCCTGAGGTGTGGGCCCTGGGTGTGCGGGACGAGTGAGGTGCCCTGAGGTGTGGGCCCTGGGTGTGCGGGACGAGTGAGGTGCCCTGAGGTGTGGGCCCTGGGTGTGCGGGACGAGTGAGGTGCCCTGAGGTGTGGGCCCTGGGTGTGCGGGACGAGTGAGGTGCCCTGAGGTGTGGGCCCTGGGTGTGCGGGACGAGTGAGGTGCCCTGAGGTGTGGACCCTGGGTGTGCGGGACGAGTGAGATGCCCTGAGGTGTGGGCCCTGGGTGTGCGGGACGAGTGAGGTGCCCTGAGGTGTGGGCCCTGGGTGTGCGGGACGAGTGAGGTGCCCTGAGGTGTGGGCCCTGGGTGTGCGGGACGAGTGAGGTGCCCTGAGGTGTGGGCCCTGGGTGTGCGGGACGAGTGAGGTGCCCTGAGGTGTGGGCCCTGGGTGTGCGGGACGAGTGAGGTGCCCTGAGGTGTGGGCCCTGGGTGTGCGGGACGAGTGAGGTGCCCTGAGGTATGGGCCCTGGGTGTGCGGGACGAGTGAGGTGCCCTGAGGTGTGGGCCCTGGGTGTGCGGGACGAGTGAGGTGCCCTGAGGTGTGGGCCCTGGGTGTGCGGGACGAGTGAGGTGGAGCCCCTGCCCCCAGGCGCTCGCACAGATGGTGTGAGGGCGGACCTGCACCTCAGTGGCCGCACGGCTGTCTGCACAGTAGGTGTGAGGGCTGAGAGAGGGCCAGACTCCACCAGGCCCCGGCAGGGTATAGCCCCAGCAGAGGCTCTGGATCGCTGAGGATCCCAGAGGCACGCAGGCCTGGGCATCTGGCTTTGTGCAGCCAGGGTTGGTTGGGGCATGGCTCCTGGATGGATCTTTGGGGACTTGGGGGAGTCAAGCTTGCCTCACAGGCCTGGAAATGAGCCAGGCTCTCACTTCTCTGCTGCAGGAGCAGTGACCTGCAGAGCCCGGGAACTTGGCATGGGGGATGCCCCCTGGGGGCCCCGAGCCCGAGGGGAACGGCGGAGACACACCATCACCAATGGTGTGGACTGTGACCTGGTGAGTAGGGGCCCAGGGGAGCTCCACCATCTTTCCTGGGTTTGGACTTGGCCCCCACACTCGTGGTTTCCTAGACCATTCCTCTGCCTGGGAGGGGACCCTGTGGCAGGAATGTTTGCGGTTCTAAACCTCAGTTCCCATCCTGGGTTTGAACCCACTTGGGAGCTGGCCCATGGTCAGGTCAAGAAGTCCTTTGGTCAGCCCCTCCCCGGCACTGTACTGGCCCCTACCTGCTTCCCTGGCACATCAGGCCAGCCCACTCGCTGAGAGTGACCACGTGCCATAAAGAGGGGGGAAGGTTCCCTTGGGGACGCTGTGTGGAGGGGCTGAGGAAGACCAAGACTGCCCCCAGCCCCGGCAGGAGCAGGGCTGTGTTCCCAGTGCAGAGGCTCACAAGGAAGACCAAGACTGCCCCCAGCCCCGGGAGGAGCAGGGCTGTGTTCCCAGTGCAGAGGCTCACAAGGACTCCTGTTGGTACCAGGGTGTGTGAGTGCAGGTGTGCAAGGTGTGTGTGAGCGGGGGTGTGCGCGCGGGCCGGTAGTGAGTTCCAGGCACAGGCCCATGCAGGCCATCCTGTCCTGCTGCATGCCGTGTGGTGCCCATGGGTGACATGGTGTGTGCCCATGTGGTGCCCGTGGGTGACATGGTGCGTGCCTGTGTGGTGCCCGCGGGTGATGTGGCGCGTGCCCGTGGGTGACGTGTGTGCCCATGGGTGACATGGTGTGTGCCCATGTGCTGCCTGTGGGTGACGTGTGTGCCCGTGGGTGACATGGTGCATGCCTGTGTGGTGCCCGCAGGTGATGTGGCGCGTGCCCGTGGGTGACATGGTGCGTGCCTGTGTGGTGCCTGTGGGTGATGTGGCGCGTGCCCGTGGGTGACGTGTGTGCCCATGTGGTGCCCGCGGGTGACGTGGCGCGTGCCCGTGGGTGACATGGTGCGTGCCCATGTCGTGCCCGCGGGTGATGTGGCGCGTGCCCGTGGGTGACGTGTGTGCCCGTGTGGTGCCCGCGGGTGACGTGGCGCGTGCCCGCGGGTGACGTGTGTGCCCATGTGGTGCCCGGGGGTGACGGGGCGCGTGCCCGCGGGTGACGTGTGTGCCCATGTGGTGCCTGCGGGTGACGCGGCGCCTGCCCGTGTGCGGCAGCTGAAGCAGGTGAGGGAGCTGCAGCAGGAGCAGGAGGCGCTGCTCCACGGCCTGGAGATGATGGCGCGGGGTCGGGAATGGTGCCAGCAGCAGCTGCAGCGCCTGCAGGAGCGCCAGCGCCGTCTGGGCCAGAGCAGGGCCACCCCGGTGAGTGACGCTGCTCCCCGGACCCGTCACCACCCCCACCCCCGGGCACAGCGACCCTCCCCCCAGGGATCCCTGCCCGGGTGGTGCAGCGACCCTCCCCCCACAGTGCCCCCTGCCCAGGTGGTGCAGCGATGGGCAGAGGACAGTGCGTGTCTCTCTACCCAGAGTGCTGGGCCACCCCTCCCTGCCGTGATACTCCCCACCTGTGACACCCCTGGGGCGCCCCCTGCACCCCTGGGCCGGCCCTGCTCCCTGACCGCCCCTCCGTACTCTCCTCCAGGACCTCGGGGCTGAGGGCAGCCCCCGCCTGTTGGGGCAGCTGCTGCCCAAGGTGCAGGAGGTGGCCCGGTGCCTGGGGGAGCTGCTGACTGCGGCCTGTGCTGCCAGGGTGAGTGTCTCCCAGACCAGCTCGTGCCACCCTCACCCTTGTCCTAGAGGCTGTGCCAGGCCCGCCTGACCGTGCCCTCCTGCAGGCTCTGCCCTCGTCCTCCTCGGGGCCCCAGGGCCCTGAGTCGCCCTCGGCCCCCGACTGGCAGCAGCAGACCATCCTCATGCTGAAGGAGCAGAACCGGCTTCTGACCCAGGTGAGCGCGGGGTGCCGGCGGGGGCTGGGGGCGGGGCGGGGGCGGGACTGGGGGCGGGGTGTGGGTGGGGCGCGGGGGCGGGAGTGCGGGCAGGCGCTGGAGGCGGAGCGGGGGCTGGAGGAGGGGTGCAGGCGGGGCTGGAGCCGGGCGTGGACGGGGACTGGGGGCGGGGCGTGGGCGGGGCCTGGGGTGCGGAGCGGGGCTGGGGGCGGGGCGGGGGCGGGGCGGGGGCTGGAGGCCGAGTGCAGGTGGGGGCCCTGACCGCCCTCCCACCTGCCTAGGAGGTGACCGACAAGAGCGAGCGGATCACACAGCTGGAGCAGGAGAAGTCCGCCCTCATCAAGCAGCTGTTTGAGGCCCGTGCTCTCAGCCAGCAGGACGCTGGGCCCCTGGACTCCACCTTCATGTAGCCGGCCCTGGGCACGGACGTGGGACCTTGCCGCCTGGCCGGTCTCTCAGTTCCGGGCAGGGGGGCACTTCCTTGGCCCCCCCGCTCTGAGGCAGAGGTGCCTGGATGTCGCCTCCCTCCTCCCTTCCCATCTGGGCTTCGCGGCTGGCGGGGCGGGAGACTCCCATCTTACTGGCACACAGCTTGGAGCCTCCACTGGCGTCAGTGGGGAGTGGGGACCCCGGCCTCAGCAGCTCTGGGCAGGCCTGCTTCCGTGTTCTGCTGGCCTGTGTCCCCTCCGCCTGGGGGCTCCCATCCATGGCCCTGCTCACTGTGCTGCTAACTGGCCTTGGAGCCCGCATTTGGGTGTCTTGGGTGGGGCCTGGAGTAGGTGACCCTGGGGTGGGACACCTCAGACCCAGTGGTGGTTGGCCCCGCGGGTCCACCAGCACATTTCCTCCCTCAGGATGAGGGGTCCCACCTCAGCCAGGAGTCCAGGGGCTTCTACTGGTGTCCAGCTCCAGGGGAGCCCTGGGGCATGGTGTTCAGGTTCACTGGATTCCTGCCTGAGCCAGAGCTGGCCTGCTTTCCCTTCCTCGCGGACCTCAGATGCTAGACGAACAGGCTGGCGGTCACCCCTGCGGGCCCAGACTCCACTGAGCAAACAGTGACCCAGGCCCAGAGCCTTCCTTGGGCCTGACAGGTAACCAGGCCAGGGCCATGGCCACCAGGGCAGCTTAGGGTGCCCCTCCGCGGGGAGGGCCCTGTCCTCAGGGCGGGTGGTAGCCCCCTGGCGTGCCCCAGGAAGCCCTGTAGACCCAGCAGCCTTAGCAGCACTCCCGCCAGATGCGCGCTTCCCAGGGAATGGAGGCCAGCTGCCCCACCCCAACCCCCAGCTTGGGCCTGGGTCCAGGTCCGAGGAAGGGGGACCTGAAGGGCGCTGGAAAAGCCTGGCAGCGGGTCCCGCCGCGGGTCGTTTGTTGCTTGGGCACCCACGCCTGGCCTGCTCTCAGGGTGACCACCTGCTCAGCTGGCCTGTCGCCACCCCAGGAGGGGCTCCGAGCGCCCCCAGGGCCCTCCCCTGGAGCTGAGGGTGCCCAGGCTTCGCAGGCAGGCCGTGTGGTCAGGGGCCTGAACACGCGTGGGCGCTTACGGAACTGGAATCTGAGGGCTGACTGCACAGCCTCACGTGCATGGGCGTGGCAGCCTGCCCAGAGAGGAGGGGTCCAGGGTGCTGCCCCCATGGGGCCCAGCTCTGCCTGTGCCGGCTGGAGCCCTCCCCACCACCGGCGGCCAGTGGAGGAAGGTGGTTGTCTCGGGTCCGCACGCAGGCTGCTTGACCTGACCTGGGCAGGTTCCCTGGGACGAGAGGCAGAAGGGGAGCTGGGCCCGAAGGGCAGCACTGGGTCTCCAGCATCCAGGCCAGCCTGCCATGCGGTGACTGGGCCAGGCCCCACCAGGACCGCCCGGAGGCTGCCCCTTTCCTGGTTCCCCTGGTCGTCCCCCTCTGCCAGCCCTTGACCAGCCCCCACACCAGCTCAGGCCCTGAGCCCCTCACTAGGAGTCCCCTTAATCCCAGAACTGAAAACAGCCCTCCCCAGCTCCGAACCCTCCGCCCACGAATGACGCAGGCCCCAGGCCGCAAGCCATCCTGGCTCTGGGCTCTGAAAGGCCTGCTCTGGCGCCGGGAGCTCCCTCCCCCGCTTCACCTGACCAGCGCTGCCCAAGCCTGCGGGGGCCGGAACAGCAGAGGTGGCAGCCTTTGCCCTGAGGGGCTCTGCATCCCTGCTGAGAGCTCGGTGTTCACCCCAGGGGTACCACCCACTGCAGGCGGTCCCTGCAGTTGCAGGGTGAGTGGGAGAAACCCGTGACTCGCAGAGTGGCCTTTAGTGATGATGCTGGCCTTTCATGCAGGACGGAAGATGTACCCTCATTTGCAGCCTGCAGTGAGGCTGCCTGTGCTGCCCTGGAGACCCCAAGGGGAGAACTGTGAGTGCCTGCAGGCTGGTGAGCCCAGGTGGCTGGCAGAAGCAAAGCAGCCTTTCCAGAGCAGCAAGTGTTAGCCACATGGGCAGCGTCTGGGGCCGGGGAGTCCTGGGGACTGCCCGTGCCCTGGAGAATGTTTAGCAGCATCTGTCCGCTAGATGCCAGCAACACTCAGTGTGATGCCAGCACGGGGGTTGGGGGCGGGGGCGAAGTCACCCTTAGCCGAGCATCCCTGCCAGAGCAGCTACACTAGGCCTCGGGGATTCCCTGTGGACTGAGGCCCAAGGAAAAGGAGCATCTCCAGTTTAAAACCACACAAGGGAAGGAGCCACCGTGAGAGCCAGGAGGAAACAGACTGACCATTTCAGATACTGGGATGATCAGAGAAGACACCGATGTTTCGTATAGCTGGAGAAATAAGAGATGCTTGAAAACACGAACATGGAATAGCCTGTAGTTTCTTACTCCAGTGATGTCAACGTTGGCTCGATAAAGGTGGCCAATAAAATGAAAAGAATCTAATAGAACTAGAAATTTGAAAATAAAATTTAAAACTTGACTGGGCTTGACATGGAAAATTTCAGCACAGCTGAAAGGAGACAATGAATTGAAACAGAGCTTAGGGAATGATTTGAGGACCATTCAGTTAAGAGAGTCAGGAACTATGAATGGCAGGAGGGTCTTGAGAAGGGGAGGGCTGTTTGATTAAATTTCCTGAAAGAAAGGATGGGGAGGAGGAACAATGTATGAAGTTAAAATGGCTTAAATTTTTCCAGAATCATCTTAAAAAACCCATCCTTAGGTCCAGAGCTCCCAGTGGATCCCAGGCAAAGATGAATTTTAAAAAAGGACATTTTCTCTTACAAGATCATTAAAGAATCCAGAGACAAAGCCAGTCGCCTTCAGAGGAGATGCCACGGTGATACCAAAGTCCAGAGACTGGGAAGCCATCAGAGGCTGATGTTACTGATGCAGAAGCCACAGCCACAGACTCGGCCTTTCGAGAGTGAGGCTGGGGGCTCCCCTGGCGGTCCAGTGGTTAAGACTCCATGCCCCCAGCGCAGGGGGCTGGGCCGATCCCTGGTCGGGGGACTAGATCTCGTAGCCACAGCTGAAAGATCCCATGTGCAGCAAAGTTGCTATTTTTTAAAACCCAAAACTTAGTGGCTTATGTACCCACACTGGTGTCCAACTCTTTGCAACCCCATGGACTGCATGTAATGGCCTGCTGGGCTCCTCTGTCCATGGGATTCTCCAGGCAAGAGTACTGGAGTGGGTTGCCATTTCCCCCTCCAAGGGAACTTCCCAACCCAGGGATTGAACCCACGCCTCCTGCATTAGCAGGTGGGTTCCTTACCACAGAGCAAGCAACACATTTTTTGCCATTTCTGTGGGTTAGGAGCTGCTGGCGTTGGCCTGGAATTGCATGAGGCTGCGGCAGAGGCAGTCCTCGGGACTGCGGTCTTCCCGGATGCTGAGTGACCGGGGGGACTCGCTCCCGAGATGGCGCATCCACACGCATCGGGGGCCTCCCTTTCTCGTCTGCTGTGACAGTAGTTCTAACGAGGACGAGGGTGCTGACCTCAGGGAGTCGAGTAGAACCCAATGTGGGGGGAGCCGAGGCATTCTCAAGTATAATTGTTTACAAGGCGGGAAAAGACACCAACTATTTATTTTATTAAGTCTAAAAGTTACAGTAACTGGGAGAACCAGGTAAGATAATAGCTAATAGTATACCTTTCAAAAAAAAAGAGAGGGACAGGAAAATGGAGGAGAAAAGGGAAAAGAAATTCAAATCTAGAAGAAAAAAATGTAAAAATCAGAAAACACATAAGATCAAAGAAATGCATTACTCTTCACAGTATATGTGAATAGATTAACTCTGGTGAGTTATCAGATTGGGTTTTTAGAAATTCAGATATAAGCTGTTTTAAGAGACACACCTGAAATATAATGATACCGAAACAACAAAAACAAAAAAACTCAAGCCGTTGTATTAATCTAAAACAAAATAGATTTTAAGGCAAGAGATGTTAATAACATTGAAGAGAGTAACAATCTCAAAAAGTTTAATTTACCAGGAAGATACAGCAACCCTAAAGTTGTACTCCCCCAACTAAAATATAACTCACAAAGACATGCAGACATTCACTGAGGAGGACATGGCGTGTAAGCATGTGAAGAAATGCTCAACATTATTAGCCATTAGAAAAATGAAAATTGAAACTACAGTGAGAATGGGTACACCCCAAGCAGAGTGGCTAATGCGAAAATCTGGAGAGACTGGACCACTCACACATTACTGGTAGGCATGTCCAATGATACAACCACCCTGGAAAGTAATTTGGTCATTCCTTTCAAAGCTGAAATCACCACATGTGATGGCTAATTTCACGTGTCAGCTTGACTTGGGTATGATCCCCAGTCCTTTGGTTACAACACAGAGGTTGCTGTGAAGGTATGTTTTAGATGTGACTGACTTTTACATCAGTGACCTCTGAGTTAACCAGACTATTCTCCGTAATGTGGGTGGGCTTCATCCAATCAGTCGAAGACCTTAAGAGAAAAGACTGCGATCCCCCAAAAGGAAGGAGGTCTGCTTGCAGGCTGCCTCTGCATTCAAGGCTGCTACATCGCGTCTTCCTGGGTTCCAGCCTGCTGACGAGCTTTGCAGACTTCAGACTTGCTGGCTCCCACAACTGCGTGAGCTAGTTCTTTAAAATAAAAATCAGTTTCTCCCCCTCTCCCTTCCCAAATATATATTCCTATTGGCTCCCTTCCTTTCTCGGGGGCACCCTGACTAATACATCATATGCACAGTGATGGCATGCCTGGGCGTTTTTCCCAGAGGAACAAAGACTTGTTTTCACACAGGAACATGTACAAGATGATTCACAGCAGCTTCACTGGTCATCGCTCCCAGCTAGACACGGCTCAGATGTCCTTCCTTCTCCGGCTGTCTGTTCGGACACTGTTCCATCCACATCACAGGATGCAAGTCAGCAACAAGAAGGAAGGGACTGCTGGTAACGCAGCAACATGGGTGAGCCTCGGGGAAGCGATGCCAGGTGGTGAGACCCAAACTCGAAAGGACACGTGACGCATGACCCATTCCTGTGCCAACGGGAAGCACACGGACGGAGCGGGGCGGCTGGAGCTGGTGCAGGGGCCTCTCGGGGACAGTTCGGTCGGGTTTCCTAATTGTCATGGTGGTTACGCAGGGCTCCCCACGGGATAAAACTGCAGAGAGCTACACACATGCACACGCGTGCAAGCAAAACCAGTGAAGTAAAGTGAGCACCTCAGATTGTACCACTGTCAGTTTCCTGGTTTTTCTGTTGTCTGGTTGCTAAGTCGTGTCTGACTCTTTGCGACCCCATGGACGGTAGCATGCCAGGCCTCCCTGTCCCTCACTATCTCCTAGAGTTTGCCCAAGTTCATGTCCATTGAGTCTGTGATGCCATCCAGCCATCTCATCCTCCGCTGCCCTCGTCTCTCTCCTTTTGCTATTGTACCATGTGTTTATATGTGTATGTATACATATATATAATACATACATATATTATACATATATATATTATACATATATATATTTACAGCAACACTTGTCAGAACTGTAAAGAAAAATTAGCAAACTCATCATCACAGTGAGAAGTTTTAGCATACCTCTTCACAATTGATAGGGTGTAGTAGATTTGGACGTTATTGGTAATGGTGATGTAGTGTGCAAATCCAGACCAATGCACTCACTAATTGGAGAACATACATTCTTCTCCAGCACACGAGGAACTTTTGTATCTCTTTATGACACACACTGGGCCCAAAACCCAATCCAACAGATACCAGAAGACTGCTTGCAAGCAGACTAAATGGTGTAACCACGATGCAGGTACCTTAGAAAAAAGCCCAGGGACTTCCCAATTCAGGGAAGACTCCATGCTCCCAATTCAGGAGGCCCAGGTTTAATCCCTGGTTAGGGAACTAGGTCCCGCGTGCCGCAACGTAGACCCAGTGCAGCCAAATAAATAATTTTTTTTAAAAGCCCAGACTTCTGGGTTTTAAGACACACACACGTCCTCAGAAAAACAAATCCAAAGCAAAAGCAAAAAGAAACAATCAAAAAAGGAAAAAAGAAAAAACATGAAAAAAGAAATTTAAAAAACACACCCATATCTAAGCAATTCATGTGTCAAATAAGAAATCACAATGAAACTGGAAAAAAAATTGTAAATGAAGACAAAAAGTGTATCAAAAGCAGAAACCAGAGGGAAATGTACAGAGACATTTAGACATTTACACTAGAAAAGAAGAAGCCTTGTAAAACATGAATTAAGTGCTGAACTTCAGATTCTGGAAGAAGAAGGAACCAATGCACAGAATATAGAAGAAATTGTAACACGTCAGTTAAAAACATTTTTGTTGAATGTACATATGTGCCTGACAGGGCTTCCCAGGCGGCGCTCATGGTAAAGAACTCGCCGGCCAACACAGAAGGCATAACACACACGGGGTTCGATCCCTGGGTGGGGAAGATGCTCTGGAGGAGGGCATGGCAACACACCACAGTATTCTTGCCTGGAGAATCCCATGGGCAGAGCAGCCTGGCGGGCTAATGGGGTCGCAAAGAGTCGGACACGACTGAAGTGAATTAGCACATGGACCTGACATTTCTCTTGATGCTGGGTAACACCTGAAAGAGACACGAAAACTCCTGCTCACGTAAAGTCATATCTGAGTATAAACGATAAAGATTAAGGCAGGAAATAGTGGAATAGAAAACAAGCATCCAAGGACCTCCCTGCAGTCTCGGGGTTAAGACCTGGTGCTTCCAGTGCAGGCAGTGCGGGTTTGATCCCTGGTTGGGGACCTATGCTCTTACGTGTGTGATATAAAACATCCACAAAAGGGCAAAAACTTGACTGAGAAAGCTCGCAAAGTGCAGAAACATCTGCCTGGATTAGTGAAGAATAAAAGATATAAATTTAAAAAATGGTGTTTGTTAGGAATGCCCTGCAATGCTGGGGATGCGGGTGTGATCCCTGGTCTGGGAACCAAGACCCCTCATGCCTCGGGCAACTAAGCCCACGGACTGCAGCTCCTGAAGCCCTCTCGCCTCAACCAGAGTCCATGAGCCACAGTGGGAGACCCCCTCCTGACGGTGACGGTCCCACACGCTGCAACTGAGACCCGACGCAGCCGAATAAATAAATACACAAGTGTTTTTTTAAAAACCCCAAGAGTTGCAGAATACCAACCGAAACAGTGGCGCGCGCCCTTGAGGCCACCAGGTGGCGCTGCCATGCTGTAAACGGCGGTACTGGCTGGCGATGCCGAACGCACGCGTGTTCTGGTCCCCAGGTCCTAAGCTCTTCCCCAGGGAAAGGCTCGTGTGCAAGTGTGTGTAGCAGCAATCTTGGTGAAAACAGCCTGACGCCAGGACCACGAACACACTATGAAATGTGAGGTTTGCGACCCTCGTACCAGAAGACAGTGTTTCGCTTGTCAGCGTTAGAAATCTCAAAAATCCAAAGGCAGAGGAAGAAGCAAACTCCAGAAGAGCATTCCAATACATTAAAACAACAGGAAACACAGCATAACAGATTATTTAGAGATGCACCGAGGGGCGGAAAGCTATAAACAAAAGCAAGGAGTCAGCAGCACAAAGGTCGGGCCAGGTCAGGCGGGTCAGGGCTCTGTGAGACGCCGGCCCCCAAACGGGGCTCCGCCTCCGGCCGGGGCCGCACCTGCGCTGTGTCTGCGGCGCCTCGCGAGGCGCCCCCCGCCGACAGGCGGCGGCCCTCCCGCACGCCGCACAGCCCGCTGCGCCTGCTCCTCAGAAGGTCCCGCAGACGTCTTGCCGAGTGGCTTCTCGAGCACAGTGAGTGGCGACGAGCTTCAGCCACAGGAGGCGGTGACTCCCCACGAGGAGACGGAGGCAGGGGCGGTGGCGGCCTTGACCGCCGGGACCCCCTCCCCGGGGGGTCTGGGCCCTGCGAGGGCGGCGGGTTGCGGACCCTCCCCCAGGCCCTCTCCCGGCACCTCTCTGCAGCCGCATTCCTCTGCCTGGAGCCAGGGCCAAGCATGTGCAGAACATCTGGAGCCCCACCTCTGCCGAGGTTCCCGGGGGAGGGCGGAGCCGCCTTCCGCCCAGCGGGCCCCTGCTAGGGTCTCCCTGTTGCCTGCCCCCAGCCCGCCTTCCGGAGTCCAGTGGTCGTGGTCGAAGGAAGTCTCTGGGCCAAAAGGTGGTCCTGCCCCGGCCCCTGTGGGGAGAACACCCTCCCGTCTCGCCGTGGCTGTTTCATGCCCCCACTTCCTCCCATCAGCTCTCCCCAGGCTGGTCTGGGCCCCTGGCATGAGCACGGCGGCCAGGCCTGCGTCCCCGCGGCCCCCTCCCCTCGGGCCTCGAGGGCCGGGGGCGGTCAGGGCCGGCCGGCCGGCACACCAGCGTCTGCCAGGCTCCCTCTGGGCTGCCTTTGTCTCCTCCTTCTCAGCCTAAACGGCCGGCCTCTCCCTCCTCCGAACCTTCCGGGGTGGAAGAAAGGGCCTGGGGTGGGAGGGCTGGTGGGGGAGCTGGCGAGAAACCAGGGCATGGAGCCCTGAGTCGGCCGCACCCAGTGACTCTGCTGGGCCCCAGCCAGGAGGGTTTGGGGAGGCCAAGCGAGGTCCTGGGGCTCCCACCCTTCCCGCCGGGTCCTGAGCTGGGAACAAGGCTCCATTGCTGGGCCCGAGACACCAGACCCTCAGCCTGGGCAGCCGGCCCGGCAATCCCGATTGTCCTCTCCGGTTCCAGCCGGCCGTGCCACTGCCCAGACCCTGTGCCCATCAAAGGCTCTCCTTCTGGGCCCCCTCCCCCCTCCACTGTTGCTGGCACTCCTGGGTGGCCTTGCCACATAGCTCCCTGCCGTGGGAATTCCCACTTTGCACAAAGTGGGGGTGGCCCTTGGCCCGGGTAAGGGGTGATGCTTGGCCAGGGTGGCACGCAGGGTGGCATAGGGACTCAGAGCATAGCAACCAGACATGTGGTGGGGCTTCGGCCAGTCAAGCACTTGCCCACCCCAGTGTGCCCACCGGCCAGCCTGCAGCCCGTCTCCCCCCTGCCCCACGGCCGACGGGATGAGGCCTGTGCAGAGGCCCCTCCTCCCCGGTCCAGGCTTCTGGGCCCCTGGGCTGGGCAGGAGTGGTGGCGGGGCCCCAGGCCCCTGAACAGGGCTCCCTGTCTCCAGGCTCCGTGGGACTAAGGGCTCCCCGCTCTGCTCTCTGCTTGCACCCTCGCCCGTCTCCTTGGAACCGTGTGAAACATGTCTGGCTTCCCCCTGCTCGGCCCTCAACTCTCAGCTCTCAGCACCTCCAGGGCGGGCAGGCCCAGCCTGGGGCAGCACAGTGCCCTGGGGCTTGACTGGCACGGTGCCCTGCCATGAGCCCAGGGCTGAGTGGGAACCACAGGCAGGTCGGCCCTCCCCTGCAGGGACCCAGCCAGGAGCCCACGTGGTTCCTGTAGCTGGGGTAGTGCCTCCTTCCTTCAGGATCAGGCCAGGGGAGAGCCGGCTATCCAGGAGAACGACCCTCCGAACAAGCGCGCCCAGGAGGCCCCCAAGCCAAGGCCTCAGAGGGCAGGGTGTTCTCCGGGTCCTGCGGGAGTGCCCAGCGGCCCAGCGTGGCTGGCAGGCAGTTAAGAGGTTGGGGTGGGGGTCCGATCAGGAGGGATTACTCTGGGGCAGAGCAGACAGGAAGGGGAAAGGGGGCAGCGAGCCGGGCGCCTGGGCGGCGCGGGTGACTCAACAACCGAGACTCTCACCTGCGCTCGGGGCGGGCTGGAGGTGGGCGGGCCATCCCGCCGTGGGCGTGGCCTCCGCGGACCGGTCCCCGCCCCGGGTGCCAACCCCGTGGTCCCCCGAGCTCGCTCGGCCTCCCGGCTGCCAGCCGCCGCGTCGTGCACGCCGGGCCCGCCTGCGCACCCATGGCCGGGAAGGCGCTGTCGCTGCTGCCGCCGCTGCTGCTGGCCGCCGCCGGCCTCGCCGGCCTCCTGCTGCTGTGCGTCCCCACCCGCGATATCCGGGAGCCGCCCGCCCTCAAGGTGCACGCTCGAGCTCCCGGGCAGCCCGGCGCAGTCCGCGGGGACTTGGACCGAGCTGGGCCGGGCTGCGCCCGCGTGGCAGCCGGGACCCCGCGCGCTCTGCAGCCGGCCCGGCGGGGTGGGGTCCGGGCCCCTCAGCCGCGCTCCGGCCCCGGCCCAGGGCATTGCAGCGGCGCTTCCCGGGACGCGGTGCGGGAGGTCGAAGTGCCGGGATCTCTGCTCGCTGCGCCCGCCGCGGAGCCGTCTGGGAGCGGCAGACGGAGAGTTTCTCCGCACCCCCAGGGCGCCCAGGCCGTGGCCGGGTCTGCGTCCCCAGCACACTCGGCCTCCCTCAGGGTTTGGCCCAGATGGGGTGCGACAGGCGGTGGGCCCAGCGACCCCTCCCCAGCCTCGCCGCTGGCTCTCACGGTGCGGGGGCAGCCCTGGCCGGTCCTAAAAAAAAGTTGGAACGGACTGGGCCTGATTCCCCCACCCGCCCCTGCCAGACTCGACCTCCAGAAGCCTGGGCTCCCTTAACCCTCTACTGCACTGAGGGCCAGTCTGGTGCCTGGGTGGAGGCGGGTACTCGGAGCCCCAGGCGCTGGGGATGCAGATGCAGGGTGAATGCTCTCTTGCCAGGGGAGACTCCCAGCTGGGGTGGGGTGGGGCGAGGCCGGACCCTTGGCTGGCTCTGCTCCTGGAGTTCCAGGGACTCCAGCAGGCTCCCCTTGCTGGAATGCAGGCCCCTGGGGCAGGTGCAGGAAAGCAGCTCTGGCAAGCTGGGTGCTGTCATCTTCCGACCCTCAGGAAAGACCCCTGTGCTCCCCTGACCCTGCCCTTGAGGCCCAGGGATGGGGCCTCTGCTCATTGGCCAGTGATCAGCCTTGGTCCTGGCTTCCCTGGGGCCTCCATTTCACTTCCTCGGATGCGGCAGAGATCAGAGAGGCCGGACGGAGGGCGGGAAGGAAGGAAGGGCCAGTCTGAGGGGCTCTTGCTGCAGCCTGAGGACCTCAGGCCCCCGGCCAGGGCTCCCAGGGTGGCCCCCGACCCCTGACTCTGACTGCGCCTCCTGCAGTCAGCGGGGGCACGGCTGATGGCCCTCCACCCCCATCTCTGCCACCAAGCCGTGTCCCGGCAGTTGTCCCGGGCTTCTCGGAGCCTCAGAACTTCATTCTGAAGCTTCCAGTCTGGACACAGGGTCGGGCAAGGTGGGCCAGATAGCTGAGAGAGCCACAGGGCATGGCTTCACGCCCTGCCCCACTCCTAAGGCTGACCCCCACCCCACCCGCAGTATGGCATCGTCCTGGACGCGGGCTCTTCCCACACGTCCATGTTTATCTACAAGTGGCCGGCGGACAAAGAGAACGACACAGGGATCGTGGGCCAGCACAGCTCCTGTGACGTGCAAGGTAAGAGTCCCCTGAGCGCTGGACACCCCCGGCCTGCATACCCGCTCACTGTGGGGCCTCGGGAGCCCGCCCTGGTCTCAGCTTCTGCAGACTCGAGCCGTCAGACCCCTCTGCTTGGTGCCAGGGGGCCACTCCAGGCAGGAGCTGCAGGAGCCCCCCCAAGGGAGGCTGCGTCCCTGGGTCTCAGAATGGCTGTGGACAGTTCCCAGAAAAGAAGCCCCAGGGAACATCTGGAAGGTTTGGGCCTTGCCTGGCCCGAGATTGGCTCCACACCCCAGGTAGAGCGGGAGGGGTCCCGAGGAGCTGGTGGGCACACCCAGGCAGGCCCCTGGGGAGGCCGGGCCGGGCGGACAACACCCAGGGCTTTGTCCGAGCACCTGTGTGCACACCCACTTGTGTGGGTGTGGCAGCTCGGAGACCATGGGTGGCCCACAGGCGGCCCTTTTATCTCTGAGCTGGGTGTCTCTGAGAATTGAAGTTGGGAAATTTGGTCTAAGCTGCCACCTGGCTTGGGAGCACAAGCCCCCCCCAGTCCTGCTGGCCTGTGGACCACCTAGAGGCTGCCCACCAGGCCCATCCTGCTGCCTCCCTCCAGGTGGGGGCATCTCTAGCTATGCTGACAACCCTTCTGGGGCCGGGCAGAGCCTTGTGGAATGCCTGAACCAGGCACTTCGGGACATACCCAAGGAGAGACACGTGGGCACGCCGCTCTACCTAGGAGCCACGGCGGGCATGCGCCTGCTCAAGTGAGTGTCCTGCCCTGGCTACTGACCTCCTGGCCCTGGGGACCACGGCAGCCTGAGCCCAGGGTGGGCCCTGCACACCCCCAGCAGCAGCCCTGGGCTGGGGCCCCTCAGCTGGCTGGGCAGACGCTGAGCACCCCAGCAGTAGGGGCACGGCCACCTGGGGAGGACTCTGAAGTCCTCCCTGTGTCACAGCCTGACCAGTCCAGAGGCTTCAGCCAACGTGCTCGCTGCCGTGACACAGACGCTGACCCAGTACCCCTTTGACTTCCGCGGTGCCCGCATCCTCTCAGGCCAGGATGAGGGTGTGTTTGGCTGGGTGACCACCAACTACTTGCTGGAAAACTTCATCAAGGTGGGCCCAGTGGCCAGCCCGATGAGCCGGGGGTGTGGGCACCACCCGCTGGCTGACCCCAACCTCTACTTCCCACAGTACGGCTGGGTGGGCCGGTGGTTCCGGCCAAGGAAGGGGACGCTGGGGGCCATGGACCTGGGGGGCGCCTCCACACAGATCACCTTCGAGACGGCCAGCCCCGCGGAGGATCCGGCCAATGAGGTTCAGCTCCGGCTCTATGGCCAGCGCTACCGAGTGTACACGCACAGCTTCCTCTGCTACGGCCGTGACCAGGTCCTGAGGACGCTGCTAGCCAGTGCAGTCCAGGTACCCTCTACTGAGTCCTCCTGGAAGTAGGGCTCGGGGAAAGTGGGGGCCAAGGGCCCAGAGCAGAGCCTGAAGCGTGGCCAGAGCGGGGCTTCTCCAGGAACCCAAGTCGTGCTTGGATCAGCTGGAAGGACAGGTGGGCGAGAATACAGCATGAGCAAAGACCCAGAGGCTGGGGGTGGGCCTGGTGAGTAAGGAGGGCTGGGGCCAGCTCTCAGAGGACCTGCACTGCCTGGCCAAGCGCTTTGGGTTTTGTCCAGCAAGCAAGGGGGAGCCATGGATAGCTCATGTGTTGAGAAGAAATGCTGTCCTTCGGGGTGGCCCTCCAAGGGTCCTAGGGCGGGCGTGGCTGGTAACGCTCCGAGCGGAACTGATGCACACCCTCCTCGTTCCCCAGACCCGTGGGCCCCACCCCTGCTGGCCGCAGGGCTATTCCACCCACGTGATGCTCCAGGACGTCTATGAGTCGCCCTGCACCGCCGCCCAGCGGCCCCAGGCCTTCAACAGGAGCGCCAGGGTCAGCTTGGCGGGCAGCAGCGACCCTGCCCTGTGCCGCGGCCTCGTCTCCCAGCTCTTTAACTCCTCCTCCTGCCGTTTCTCCAGATGCTCCTTCAACGGCGTCTTCCAGCCCCCTGTGGCTGGGAAGTTTATCGTGAGTCCAGAGGACAGGAAGCGTGGGGGGGGCGGGGAGGCGTGCCCTGAGGTGCCTGGGGTCTGGCCACAGTGTGACTGTCCCCGCGTTTCAGGCCTTCTCTGCTTTCTTCTACACGGTGGACTTCCTGAGAACGGTGATGGGGCTGCCCATAGCAACTCAGCAGCAACTAGAGGCGGCTGTGGTTGCCATCTGTAGCCAGACATGGAGTGAGGTGAGGCCTGCCCCCACCCCACCAGCGCTGTGCAGGGTGCGGCTGGGGTTTCTGCCAGCCAGCATCAGGCCTCCCGGTCTTTCTTTTGCTCTGTGAGTAGAAGGGTGTGGGGACACAGTGCCAATCAGACTTGAAAAGTGGCCAGGCTACAGCCGGGAACCCAGCAGTCAGATGAGATGGGATTACAGAAGCCTCTCTGAGGCCTGACTCCAGATCCAGGATCTGGAGGGTGGAGGGGACAGCCAGTGCAAAGGCCCTGGGGCAGCAGGGAGTATGGAGTGGAAGGGCAGGGAAGAGTGTGGCTGGGAGAGCGTCGGGGAGAACAGACAACCTGGGGAGAAGTAGAAGGACCCGGGGAGACTCAGCAGGTAGAACAGGCACGACTTGGGGGAGTCAGAAGTGGAAAACAGCTGTGCCGGTCCCAGGTGAAGTAAGACGGAGGGGTTTGGGCCCGCGGGGGAGGAGGTGATTCCGGAGAAACACTCGCGTGTCTGTAGGACTCGTCCTGTCCTCTCTGTGTCTAGTCCCAGGCAGACTCGGGCAGGTGGGGAAGTGGGCCCAGAAGGCAAGCCCAGTGCCTGGGGCCAAGCCGGGAGCTTCTGCTCCCCTGACCTCTCCAAGCCCGCTGCAGCCCCTGCTCCCAGGGGCCATGCCGCTGTCCCCTGGCCTCAACCTCACAGGCAAGGCACCATCCAGAGGTCAGGCTGCTCCTCCCCAGGGGAGGGCCCCGCCTGCTTCTTTCTGGGACCTGCAGCACCGTCTCCAGCCCCACACTGCCCTTCTGTGTCTGGTGGGGCAGAGACCTCCGGGTGGTCGCTGGCCCTAGAGTCTTCCACTCGCATCCCAGCTGCAGGCTCGGGCGCCGGACGACCGGGCCCGCCTGCCCGACTACTGTGCCGGGGCCATATTTGTGCAGCAGCTGCTGAGACGCGGATATGGCTTCGATGAGCGCTCCTTCGGAGACGTGACCTTCCAGAAAAAGGTGGGAACCCGGGAGCGGAGGGGCGGGGCCGCCCTGGCTGCGCAGAAGCTCAGGCTGCACCTGTGGCCCGCAGGCCGGGGACACTGCGGTCGGCTGGGCACTTGGCTACATGCTAAACCTGACCAACCTGATTCCCGCTGACCCGCCTGGGCTGCGCAAAGGCACAGACTTCAGCTCCTGGGTCGTCCTCCTCCTGCTCTTCGCCGCCATGCTCCTGGCCGCGTTTGCCCTCCTGCTGCACCAGGCGCGCGCCACCAAGTCGGCGGGCACCATCTAGGGGCACCGGCACCAAGCCCCCATCTCTATATCCCCTCATCCCTCACCCCACCCCGCCACCAACATCTCCGTCCCTAATGCAGCCCAGAATCAAGACAGTGCCGACACCGACATCTGGTCAGGATGGGCAAAGGGAATGGAACCCAGCCCCCCCCCCCCAACTCCAGCCTTGGTCTCGCCTCGAGGCCTCCTGCTCCCCCTCTTACTGAGGTTGGGGGTCCTCAGGCTGTGAGAGCAGAGTCTGGTCCCCGGGAGTAGAGTTCTGAGGACCCCTCCCACCCCAGGCTTGGGTATTAGAGGGTCACAGCCCAGGGCCTACTTGTACACATTTTTTAATATTGAATAAAAGGATTTTCACAGAGCAGTGGAGAGAATGTCCAAGGGGCGGAGCCTCTCTGCTGCCTCCCTCCCTCCGCCACCCCAGCTGTGTTGGCCGCACAGGCGCCCCCCCCCTGCTCCCTGGGGAGGACCCTGGATCTTCCCACTTCCTTCCTCTCTGGGTTCAGGCTGGGGGAGTGCTGACTCTGGTCCCTGCTGCACCACCCTTGCTGGCCTAGAGTAGCTGTCAGATGGTGGCTCTAAAACAGAGTCCCTGAGACTCCTGCCAGACTGGAGCCTGCGCCCTGGTCTCAGGTTGGCCGGGGTGGGGGGGTGGCAGACGAGGGAGTGATGGGGCCAAGCGATTGCCTAAGTTGCAGGCAGTGCTCAAGGAGGCTTCCCGGGCGGCTCAGCGGTAAAGAATCTGCCTGCAAGGCAAGAGGCGCAGGAGACGTGGGTTCAATCCCTTGGCTGGGAAGATCTTCTGGAGGAGGGAATGGCAACCCACTCCAGTAATCGTGCCCAGGGAAAATCCCATGAACACGACTGAACACGCAGGCCTCACAGGCTGTGCTCAGACACTGAGGGAGGTGGGGGGACAGAGGGGGCAAACCCTCCACAGGAGCGGGTGGTGGGGGAGCCAGGGCCAGGAGGGACGCAGGGCTCCATTGCTCAGGAGAATGAGACTTGCAGAGAGCCTGGCTCTGGTCAAGCCGCATAATCGCACGGCCTTCGCTCCACCTGCCTCGGGCAGCCCCTCCCCAGGCCCTGTCTCCTGCGAGTGGCAGGCAGGCGTGGTCTTGCCTGCATCTCTCCGCCCCCCCCCCCTTTCTGGGAAGTGAGCTCTGACACTATTTCTGTCTGATCAGTGCCTCGTAGGGGACGGGGGTGGTCCTTGCTCTGCACACACACACACAACACCCGCACACCCCACATACACGTCTGCCAGATTCTGAGTATTTCACAAACCTGAGGGCCGCCAGCCCCATCTTCGGAGTTCTGAGGCTCAAAGAGCCGAGAGGAGCACCGCGCGGGGGCGGGGGGCCGCCCTGATCTCTCAGGGACGGGAGCCTGGGAGGTTTCCAGGTGGGACGCGGAGGCTGCGCTCCCAGGAGGCAGTAGGTGGGGTTAGGGGGTGCACCCCAGTGCTTGCCGTCGTGGGGCACCCCGGAGCTAACAGGCTGTCACCTGGGCACCGTGGACAGCTCCCAGCTGGCTGTCAGCAGCCGTTCCAGGTCACTCTTGCCCCCTGGTGGCCTCACCGGGAGCGGCCGCCCCACTGCAGTCCTAGTGGCCGCCGGCACCGCGCTAGCCCTGTGCGCCTGTGTGTGCCTTAGACGCGCGTCTGAAGGCCCGGTCGGCCTCCGGGTACACCTGCGCGTCCCCCTGCGCCTGCTCAGCTGTGTGCGCCTGGTGTCCCTCCAGACCCAGGCGGATCCTCCGCCCCAGGAGGGTGGGGGGCGGTGGGTGGGAGTTATCAGCCCGAGAGGGACAGGCTGGGGAAGCGCATCCCGGGGGACCCAGCCCCAACCAGTGCGCCGCCTGGAGAAGGTCCGGTTTGCAGAGGCCGCAGAGGCGGAGGCGCCCAGAGGGCTGGCCGGGGGCCGAGGAGGGGCTCGGAATCGGAGGGGGGCGCAGCCTGACGGCGGTCCCGCCTCCGCAGGTGGGGCGCGCAGGCGCACTCCGACTCGGCGCCCTCGCCGCCCCCGCCCGGATCCTCTGCCGCAGCGTCAGCGCCGCCGCCGCCGCCGCCGCCGCCGCCTGTTTTCCTCGGCGTCCGCCTCCGGCCTCCGCCCCCTCCTCGCCACCCCGGCGCCACCCCTACCCCGGCGCCCCGACCCCGCGCCCGGCCCTGGGACGCGCGGTGCCATGCTGCCCCGGCCGCGGCGCTGAAGGATGGCGACGCCTGTGCCCCCGCCCTCCCCGCGGCACCTGCGGCTGCTGCGGCTGCTGCTGTCCGGCCTCGTCCTCGGCGCGGCCTTGCGCGGTGCGGCCGCCGGCCGCTCCGGTGAGCGACGCCCTGGGCAGCCGGCTGCGGGGCGCCCCGGGGTCGGGGGTCGCCGGGTGGGGCTTCGGCCGCGCGGCGCCACACTCACCCTCCCCGCCGCCACCGCCGCCTCCCTGGTCTGGGCCCGCAGGCCTCGCAGGCCCCGCCGGCCCAGCCCGCGAGCCGCCGCGCCGGCCTCGCCTGGCCCTGCTCGGGTAAACAGTCCCCGGCGGGAAGGGCGCGGCGCCGGACCGCCGAGGGACTCCTCTGGACGGGGATTCTCCAGGCTCCTTGGCGGCGAACCTGAAGTCCATCTGCTTCTTGTCTTTGTCTGGGTTCGTGAGCCGGTGGGTCGGTGTCGCAGGCGGGCTGTCTCGGAGCGGGCCGCGGCCTGGAGCCGGTCCCACGGGCGTCTCTCTGTGCGCGCGTCTCCGGTGCCTGCTGGCCTTCCTGCCGGTGGCCGTCCTGGAGCAGGAGCCGCAGCGCTGGTCTGTCCCTGCCGCTTGGGTGGTGGACACGCACCTCGCTTTGCTGCTGTGGCCGCGTCTGAAGTTTCGCGGGCATCTGACAGCTCGTCCCAGGCCTCGGGGCTTGCTCTGGCCTCACTGGGGGCAGGAGGAACTCACAGCCTCTGCTTCCTCACTCACCCTCTGCCCTGCAGGGCCCCTGCATTCCGTCTTCTGTGCCTGGCGGTGGGCGCACCCCCCAGGGCAGATTCAGGCAGAGAGGGATGAGCCCAGGGTCCTGGGAGACCCTGCCAGCTTCCCAGATGGCACTGAGGCTCCAGAGTTCTGCAGGAACCCAGAATCCCGATCGCACCCTCCCAGGAGGCAGGACTAGGGGGCTCTGTACCCAGGCCCCATTTCTCCTAGCAGCTCCATGGGAGAGGTGCTGCCTTTAGCCCATATCACAGATGAGAAAACTGAGGCACAGAGAGGTGAAGTGACCAGTATGTGATGCGGCTGGGATGCTAACCTGGGCGGTGTGGTCTGCATGTATGGCATCAAGAGGCCAGAGCAGGGCAGGCTTCTTCCTGGGCACAGCACCGCTGGACAGGGGCCTGGCCTGACCAGAGGCGCGCCCAAGGAGGCCTGAGGGCCAGGAGTGGTGGAGGCCGCCTGCTGGCAGCCTGGCTCCAGGCTGTGCAGCATGGGGCCCCCGAAGAGACGGGGAGGCCGGGTGCTGCCCCAGCGGCTCATCAGCCCTGTGCTCGCCCAGATGCAGGGCAGCGTGCCAGTCACTCTCCAGGTGCCGTTGTTCCTGGGGCCTCATCCCACACTCTAAGAGCTGGGGCCTTCCCAGGATCAACAGCCAGCGCCAGTGGCTTCCTGTGGCGGGGGGCGGGGAGCGAAGGGAGACCCCTGGAGCCCAGAACCGAGAGCCAGCTCTGGACCGCAGGCCCCTAGCCCGGGTCAGTGTACCCCGGGTTCTCAGCACCAGGGGCTGGGACTAACTGGCTCCCCGGGGACCCAGCTGGTGGGTGGGGTCTAGACAGACCTGCTGGCACAGGCTTAATGTTTAACCAGCCCCAGCCCTGGGTCCAGCGCACTAATACTGGCGCCTGCCGACCCAGGTTGTGCAGGAGGAGGGATCCCTGGGAGGGGAGCCCCAGCCCACTTGCCCACCTGCTGTAGAAGCTGCTGGAACTTCCTCCAAGAAATACCTACAGCCAAGGGGCTGTATCAGGTTACCGAGGAAACCAAGTCAGGCTAGCTGAAGTCTGGAGGACAGGCTGGCATGTCACCCTCCTGCAGGGGGCGCTGGGCAGAGGGAACCAGTCCTGGTCCTCCAAGATACCCCCACCTCCCCAGGCATGATTGACAGTCCTCTTGGGTCTCCCTGTGGCTCCCCAGGCTCTGCTGTCTAGTGACTGGGGCCAGTGTCCAGGCCTGAGACTTTCCCCGGCGTGGAGATGCCTCACCTTCTGCATCCAGAGAGGAGACTGAGACTGAGAGGGCCACCACCCTCCACTCCGCAGCGTCAGGCTGGGAGCCACGGCTGTGTGCACAGGGCACACGTCTGGGCCCCGAATTAGAAGCATCCTCCCTGCCATAGTCCAGGCTCCCCGGCCCCTGGCAGCGCTGGCTGCAGGCCTGCCCTGGCCTGGCCTCTGTCTGTGAAGCCAGTGAGGCCGGCAGACTCCGCCCCAGGCTCCCCGCCCCGCCCCAGCAGCCCCTCTCTGTGTCCGGACGAGCCAGAAGGTAGATGTGGCGGGAGCGACTGGATCTGGGCCGTCTCCCAGCCGGGCTTTCTAGGGCTGTAGGATGTCGTGACGGGGCTTGAGTGGCAGCTCTGAGGGGATGAGAGAGAGACCAGGGCCCCACCGTCTGGGGCTCCCTGGCTGGGTGAGAGGCTTGCTCTGGGTCAGCTTGAGGCCAGAAGCAGGGCTTGGGGGGCTGCACGGCCCAGGAGAGCTCTGTGCTCTCAGGAGGACAAGGAACATTTCCGTGCAGAAAGCTGGCCTGAGCTTGGGCAGTGGCCTCTGGGGAGCGGGTGGGGCGAGGGAGTTCCGATAAGTGTCAGGACTGTTTGTCTTCCTGGTTCTGATCCCTGACGCGGGGGAGGCAGGGCCTGCCCAGAACAATGGCCGGAGCCCGGCTTGGCCAGCTCTGGAGTGGGGGCGGGCGGCCAAGACGGCACCACTTCTGGGCAGGGGCTGAGTCAAGCCCGCCAAGACCCTTTTCTTCCTCTGCTTCCTTTCCAGATGCAGCTGCCTGTCCTGGGAGCCTGGACTGTGCCCTGAAGAGGCGGGCACGGTGCCCCCCGGGTGCACATGTCTGTGGGCCCTGTCTCCAGCCCTTCCAGGAGGATCGGCAGGGGCTCTGTGTGCCCAGGATGCGCCAGCCTCTGGGTACGGGCTCCCCCCCCCCACACCTGGTACATTTGCCCCCTTCCTCAGCGCTCGAGTGTCGTGCACCTTATGGGATGCCAGGACTTGCCAATCTCCTTTCAAGTGGCCTGGTGACCCTTTCTGGATGGCACCAGTGCGGAGTTGGGCAGTGGGCTGGGGCCTGGGGCAGTCACCCTTCCCAGGGCCACAGGTACCCAGCATGAAGTGCCAGGGTGATCCCGGGAGAGACAAGGTCAGTGTTCCCCAGGCCTGAGTCTCCGCAGTCAGGCACCCAGCTCTCCACCCCGCTGAACTGCCTCTGCCCTTTGCCCAGCATCCCTTCTCTCTCCATCACTCCTGTCTGCTTGAATGCCCTGGTGCTTCCCTGACCCAGTGTCTGTTGGGATGGTGCCAGCCAGAGTGACTTCAGGTGTGATGGGGCATTACAGAGGATATTGTGGGGGCTGAAGAGTTGGACAGGGTGGGAGGGGCTTCCCGGAGGAGCACATTCCTAGCCACAGGTATATGGTTTCTGAAGGCACATGATCTGCTCTGCGGATGCTGAGCGCCAGTGTCTCCTGGGAGTCTCTGGGACGGGGAGGCCCATCCACAGTCCCGCCCCGGCAGCTGCCCTCCCTTCCTCCTGATGACCAGGCAGAGGTGGGGGTTAGGACAGGGCTTCTCCGCATCCCTTGGGAAGTCTTGCCCCCTTGGCCGAGGAGGCCCACGTGGCCCGGTGATGCACTGTCCCTGCTTTGTGGGTAGTGGGTGGTGAGAGGGCCGGCACCCCTGCCCTGACCTCCTGGCCTCAGCGTGTTCCCCTGGCACTTGCCCCCTGCCTACTTTCCTGAGAACTGCAGCACACACGGTTCCTACAGTTGTCACCATGGCAACTAGGATGGTCAGGGCCCGCGGGCTGGCACCTGGTCCTCAGGCTCCTGGGGCCTAGGAGGAGCCTTGTGGGGAGGAGACCCAGGCCTGGAGACTGGCTAGCGGATGGGCCTTCCCGCTCTCTCTGGGAAGGCCACCTGTAGCTGGTGTTGCCAGGAAGGGCTCAGGGCCTCTCCAGCTGATGGCCCCTAACCCCCGCCAGGGGAGGGCTTGCCGCGGCCCAGACTGGAAGAGGAGATCGACTTCCTGGCCCAGGAGCTAGCCCAGCAGGAGGCGGGGCGCCCCGGGCTCAAGGCCCCACCCCAGCTTGAGGGACCACAGCGGCCCCCGGAGGCGGGTGAGAGCCCGAGCCGTGCACCTGTCAGATACCCCACACCCCTGGCCCCAGCCCGTCTTGCTGCGCTGACTTGCTGTCTCTCTTCAGCTGCCACCCTGGGGCTCTCGGAGCGAGGCCGGGGACCCGACCTGGGCCTACCCTCTCCGCGGGGAGCCCCGGCGCCCACACCCCGCCCCTCCCTGGGCCCCGCTGTGTCGTCCGGGCCTGTGCACGTGTCCCCCCTGGAGCCGCGGGGCGGGCGCGGTGACGGCCTCACACTTGGTAGGTGCGGCCGGGCGGGGAGGCGGGGTCCTGCCGCGAAGGCTGCCCTCACCACGCCCCCTCCCTGCAGTGCTGATCCTGGCCTGCTCCGTGGCCGGCGCGGCTGCGCTGTCGGTGGCGGCTCTCTTCTGGTGGCGGTGAGCGCGGGGCGGGGTGGGGCCGGGTGGGTGGGAGGGGATGTCTAAAGGGGAGGGGCGGGGCTAAAGGGGTGGGTTGTGTGACGGGCGGGGCTGGGGAGGGGGATGACCCCGAGGGTCTCTTTGCTTCCCGCAGGCTGCAGCGAGACATCCGCCTGACCCAGAAGGCCGACTACGCGGCCCCACAGGCGCCCAGCTCCCCAGCTCCGCCGGGGATCTCGGTGCGTGGCCCCGCCCCGCCCCGCCCCTTCCCTTCCCTTCGGTCCTGGGCCTGACCCTCCACCCCCCCCCACCCCCCACAGCCCGGGGATCAGCGCCTGGCACACAGTGCCGAGATGTACCACTACCAACACCAGAGGCAGCAGATGCGGTGCCTGGAGCGGTAAGAAGCCCCGCCCAGCGCGGCCCACCCACCCACTCCGGGGCCTGCTGCCTCCTCCTCAGCCCTGCCCACCTCCGCCCCAGCCTGCCGGCCTGCCGCCGCCCCTGCCCTCTGCCCTGGGCCACTGGCACCTGCAGGGTGAGGGGGCACCCAGCGATCCTGCCCCCCACCCAGGCATAAAGAGCCACCCAAGGAGCTGGACTCCGTCTCCTCCGACGAGGAGAACGAGGACGGCGACTTCACGGTGTACGAGTGCCCGGGCCTGGCCCCAGTGAGTGCGGGGCTGGGGGGTGGGGGGCACGGGCCGGGGGAGGGGTGCAGGGGGAGGCGGAGGGGCGTCCCTCCCCTGCTCTGGGCCCACCTAATGCCAGCGTTCGCAGACGGGAGAGATGGAGGTTCGGAACCCATTGTTCGACCATGCCTCGCTGTCCGCGCCCCCGCTGCAGTGACCCGAAGGCTGACGCCCACCCTCTCGCTCACCCTCTCGAGGACGTGATGCCCACTGGTGGGGAGGAGCAGGGCACCCGGCCTTTCCCATTAAAGAGAGGGTGTCCTGACGCACGCCTGCTCGTGGCTGGGGCCCCAGCGGCTAGGAACTCCTCGCGGGGCAGACTCCTGCCTGCCTGTGCCCCCTTGTTGCACCTGCCCCCTCAAGTGTGGAGACCCCCAATCGAGGGGGGGAGGAGAACCCGAGACCAGGCGTGGGTGGTAATAGTGGAGACAAGCCAATTAAAGTACATTTCAAATCTTTGGCTGAGTGTGCTAGAGACTGACCTCGCCCCCAACAGGCGGCCATGGTGGATGGACCCTGGAGTGGGTCCTCGGGCCTTCTGCTGCACCCCCAGCCTGGGAAGACCCTGTCCCTGCCCTCTGGGAAGGGCTGGGGGTGGGAGAGTATGGGTGCGTGGCCAGGCCAGGCGAGTTGGCGCTCTCCCCTCAAACGCCCCATCTTGTGCATGATGAGAAGGGCTGGGAGTGGGCACTGAGGCCTCCGCTCCCGCCCTGCGTCCACCTGGGCCGGGAGGGCTGGGCTGCACAGCCTGTCTGTGGGCTTACTGCGGGACCACGGGGACTCGCAGGCCCCTGCAGCATGTGTAGGGGATATGCCAGGCGGAGGAACCTAGGCGACACACAGGCGGTGGACCAGGGTGGGCAGCGGAGGCGACACGTGGTGGGGTCCCCGAATGTCAGGAGGCACCTCTCAGCTGACCCCAACCCCCTGCCAAGGAGCAGGAAAGCCAGTGGAGGGGGAGGTGACCTTCAGCTGAAGCCCCAGAGTGGGCTCCAAGTTCTGTGCTCAGAAGTGACGCTGAGACTGGGCTGGGAGGAGGGGCTGCTGGGGCCCAGGGCGCAGTGGCGGCCTGGTGCAGACAGGGTGGGGGTCAGGCCCGTCTGCCCCACCAAGCCTGGGGAGGAAGGGTGGGTGGGGCTCAGAAGCCCCTCAGGGCGGGGTCCCGAGGTTGCTGGACCTCTGGCTCCTGGTGGGGCAGCCCTGCAGGGGGTGGACACGGCCCGTTTGGGGCAGCCTGCTCGCTCTGGTGGGGCTGGGCGGCGGAAGCCGGGTTGGCCCTCCTCAGAGCTGGTGGCTCTGCTGAAGCAGTGTGTCTCTGGGGCTATGGCCTCGGGCGGGCCCCCAGCGGGAAGCCACGGTGTCCCTCTGGTGCGCTGATCTGGGAGATGGAAGGGGGTGGGGACAGGGAGCTGGGAACGAGCGCAGGGTGGCATGTGGGCAACGCGTTGAGGACCCCTGTTACTTAGTCCATGTCATGAGGGGGAATGGCCGCAGAGAAACTGGGGGACAGAGGTCAAGGCCTCCCTCAGGGTAAAGGCCAGTCCCCGGCTGAACCCTGCAGACCCAGGACTGAAGGTGGCCCTGGAGCCCTGGGCTCTGTCCCTGGAGTCCTGGCACTTGCCCCCGCAGCCTTGTGCTGCGCTGACCTGGGTAGAGGACGGCCACCCACGTGCCCTGGTGGACCACCGACTCCTTCCAGACAGCAGCGCCTAGGCGGGGCGGAGGGAAGACCCAGCCGCAGCCCGAGGGGCGCCCCGGGGCCAGAGCGCACCTCTCTGCCCCCAGCGCTGGCCCGGCCCAGCCAAGTGGGGCCACGGCCCAGAGCGCCCCCTGGTGGCGGAGCTCGGCCGCGGGCTCCTGCAGGAGGGGGCGAGGGCAGCAGGGGGCGCTTTTCTCCAGGGAGAGCGTGAGGCCGGGGCTTTCGGGAGCCCCTTGGGGAAGAGGGGTGCACAGAGGCTGGCAGTTGGCCAAGGGGGCCCCAGGTCGGGTGCAGCTGTGGGGGCGGCAGTCACAGCAAGCGGCTGCCTTCAGCCTCACCGCGGACCACCTGAGGCTGCCAGCCCCTCTAGCCCTCCTGCCCTTCCCACCTGGCCAGGGGTCCTGGCCGCATCCCATCCAGGGGGAGCTCCAGGGCCTGCCAGGCCCCCTGCAGGGCCCTGCGCCCCACAGCCCGCCCCGGCTCAGCCCCGGGTGCCGCTCAGGCGGCAGAGGTGTGTGTGCGGCACTGGGGCTGCAGACCCGCCCACCCCACGGGCTGGTGGGGGGCTTGGTTCCAGCAGCAGTTGCAGGAGTTTGGCTGCTCTGCTTGAGCTCACCGGGGCCAGTGGCGGGAGCGAGCGGTGGGCTCTGCAGGGCCGAGAGCCCGGTGAGTGGGCTGAGGGGCCCGGTCCCAGCCCCCGGTCCCTCGTCCCTGACCAGCGGCCAGCCCTGGTTCCACTGCAGAGGCCTCTGGAAGGGGATCCTCTTCCCTTGGGCCCTGGAGACCAGTTAGGGACCCTCCAGGCGGGCCCCCCGGGAGGCTGGCCCTGGAGCAGCTGGGCTGCGGGGGTGACCGCGTGTTCCGGGGCCCAGGTGCTCATGGGCGGCTGAGCCGGAGGTGAGTGCCCACCTGCACCCCGTTGACTCTGGGGCCTGGCATCGAGCTGGCAAGAGGCCCCACTTTCCCTTTGACTCAGGCTTGCCGGTCTCTTTCTTTTTTCCGCTGAGAATCTCTCATTCTGACCCATTTCTGGGCCAAACCCTGAGCCCCATTTCCCAGCAAGCATGTTCTCATGAATGGGGCCCTGGCTGCTCCCCGAGCGGGTAGGTGTGCAAGGGGCCCCAGGGGGCACCCCAGGCAAGGGTGGGGGCGGCTCTTGCGAGCCCACCCAGGAAGGGAGCGGGCAACGGGTGTGGCTGCGGCGCTGGCAGAGCCCCCGCCACCTGGCAGTGCAAACAGGAAGGGCAAAGGCCCTGGCACCAGGAGCCAGGTCGCCAGCGGTCTGTGGGGGGCGGCTCCTTCCTGCCCTCCCCCACTGCCCTCTGGGCGCCTGCCACAGGCAGAGGGGTGGGGTCCTCGGGGGCGTCCCTGCCAGGGAAGAGACACTGGGTGGGACCCAGGTCCAGGGCCACCGTGGTCATCTCCCTGAGCGCTGGGTGCTGGAAGGGCAGGGTGCCAGCCGCCCTCCGCTCTGGCCGGGGCCTGATGCTGCATCCACCCCACCGGCCACCAGATGGTTTCCGACAGTTCCCATGGCCCTCCTCCCGCATCCCCCGCCCCCCAACGTTGCACAAGAGCCTCACCACTACCGCTCAGAGCCTCTGCTGGGGGTGAGGTGCCTCAGAGGGGCCAGAGTGCCCCCCTTCTCCCGGACCGGCCTCTCCCCCCCATGGGTGTGCTGACGGCTCCTCAGTTCCCGTCCTGGATATAGTCTGGTTCTTACTGGGAGACGGGAGCTGGGACAGGCCGGTAATGCCAGGAGCCCGAGCGGACAGGGTGAAGGGCAGCCCCCAGGACGGCACAGGTGGCAGGCCTGCTGAAGGTTCCAGGCCGGTGTTCCTTTCATGACACCCAACCTGCAGCCTCCAAGAACTGGACCGGCCTGAGGCCCTTAGGACGCTAGCACCAGGGCTGGGCCTTGCCGGCCACATCCGACCGGGGCGAAGGAAGCTGGTGACCGAGAGCTGAGTGGGCCGGAGCCAGGGCAAAAGGGGAAGGAACTGGACCTCCATGCCTGGGCCCCAGGGTTGGCGGACGGCGGGGTGGGGAGAGGGCCTCTGGACTGCAGCCTTCCTTTTCCTGGAGCAGGTGCCCACGTCAGGGACACAGCGACTCCTTCCCTTTCCAGCCTGGAAAACCCCCTCCGTACTCCCCCGCTCGGGGCTGTGGAGCCTGGAGGAAGAGACCCGGAGCCCCCAAGGGCAGCGTCCCAGCCCAGGTTCCCGCGTCTCTTCCGGGCCTGGCCAGACCCAAGGCCACCCAGGCCAGGGCTCCTGCAGACTGGCGCCCGTGGTGGGGAAGGAAGGCGTGGCAGCCCCACAGCCCACCAGGAGCCAGGCCCAGCCTGGCGCTGTCCAGCGAGGGCGAGCGCTGGGGCCCTCTGTGGGCCCTGCGACGGAGCCCCTCCCGGGGAATCCGGGTTCCGGGACAAAGGTGTCCTCCAGGCAGCAGGGGTGGGCAGCGTGGAGAGGCCTGGCTAGACGCAACGCATGGGAGAAACCTCATCCTCCCGAGAGGAGCTGAGCGCAGCGTCTGCAGCCAGAGGGTCCGGGGGCCCACCGCGGAGCCGAGAGGGGGGAGCGGGGGAAGTGGGTGATAACACGGCGCCCGAGGAGGCGGCGGCCCCAGGGAAGCACGCCTGCTCTCCGCGGCACCCCTGGCAGGGCAGTGGGCGGCCACTGGGTCCTCGATGTCAGGGTCGCCCTTTCCAGGTGGGGGCCACCTCCACTCGCGATGGCCTCCCCCTCCCTGAGGCCAGGTGGGCCCTCTCCTCCCCCCGGGGCCTGCCGGCAGGTCATCTCCAGGCCTTCCCAGAGGCTGGCAGGGGTGGGGGACACGGCTCTGAACCCTGGCTGGATGCCCTTCCAGGGGCCGCTGCACCCCACCAGCCAGGGGCCTCGCGGGGGAGGCGGGGTTAGGATGCTGGCGGTGTCAAAGGTCACCGGGGGCGGGGGCGGGACGGGAGCAGGAAGATACTCTGGTGGCCTTCCTCCCGAGCAGATGAAAGGAGAGCATTTCCAGGCGGTACCCAGTGCAGAGGAGCAGCTGTGGTTTCAGGGCGTTCCTGCAGAGTGGTGGCTGTGATTTGAGGAGCCGTGAATGCAGAATGCTGGTGAGTCTCTGGCCTTGGGGGAGGCCTGGGCTGGGAGCCCCGGGCCCGTGGCGAGCTGGAGGACACAGCCTCTCTTCCCGTGTCCCCTGCAGGGCTCAGCCCCATTCCAAGCCTCCGGGCTCTGGGGGGCCTGGCCGTGGCGGCCCTCCTCTCGGCTGTCTGGCTCTGGTGGAGGCTCGGGGCGGCCCCCGGAGGAGCCCCGTCCCCGCAGCCCACGATCACCATCCTCGTCTGGCACTGGCCGTTTGCCAGCCAGCCCCCAGAGCTACCCGGGGACACCTGCGCCAGGTATGGGGTGGCCCGCTGCCACCTGACCGCCAACCGCAGCCTGCTGGCCGGCGCCGACGCTGTGGTCTTCCACCACCGAGAGCTGCAGACCCAGCGGGCCCGCCTGCCCCTGGCCGAGCGGCCGCGGGGCCAGCCCTGGGTGTGGGCCTCCATGGAGTCGCCCAGCCACACCCGCGGCCTCGGCCGCCTCCGAGGCGTCTTCAATTGGGTGCTGAGCTACCGGCGTGACTCGGACATCTTCGTGCCCTACGGCCGCCTGGAGCCCCGAGAGGGGCCCCCGCCTCCGCTGCCGGCCAAGCGCGGAGTGGCCGCCTGGGTGGTCAGCAACTTCCAGAAGCGGCAGCGGCGTGTGCAGCTGTACCGGCAGCTGGCGCCCCACCTGCGGGTGGACGTGTTCGGCCGGGCGGTCGGGCAGCCCCTGTGCGCCGACTGCCTGCTGCGCGCCGTGGCCCGCTACCGCTTCTACCTGTCCTTCGAGAACTCCGAGCACCGGGACTACATCACCGAGAAGTTCTGGCGCAACGCGCTGTCGGCCGGCACCGTGCCCGTGGTGCTGGGCCCCCCGAGGGCCGCCTACGAGGCCGTCGCCCCGCCCGACGCCTTCGTGCACGTGGACGACTTTGGCTCAGCCCGCGAGCTGGCCGCCTTCCTCTCCGGCATGAATGAGAGCTGCTATCGGCGCTACTTCGCGTGGCGAGACCGGTTCCGCGTGCGGCTGTTCAGCGACTGGCGAGAACGCTTCTGTGCCATCTGCACCCGCTTCCCCCAGCTGCCCCGCGGCCAGGTCTACCAGGACCTCGAGGGCTGGTTCCAGGCCTGAGCTCCGCCTGCGGAGGGGGGCAGGGAAGGGTGGCTGGGGAGCTAGACATGTGGGTAGAGGGCTGAATGTTGAAATCAAACCAGTGGCATCCGACCCGACCCCCGTAGGCAACCGCTGGCCGGATGTGGAGGCTGGGGTGGGGGGCCGGGAAGCAGGGCTCGGCTGGGCAGCCTGCCTGGAGGAGGAGGCTGCTGGGCATTGGAGTCACTCTTTGGAGGCAGAGGCGAGAGCAGGGAGGGAGGAATGGGGTGTGGGGTGCGGAGGTCCATCAGGTGGACGGCCACACAGGCCCTCCGTCCCCACCTCGATCATGTCTCGGGCAGGTTAGGGCTGCCCTCCGATGGGCAGGGGCTGAGAGAGGCTGGAGGCAGGGCCCTCAGGGCCGCCGACACGCCCCCTGAGATCTGTGGGGACAAAAACCGGGCCCTTGGCCCATAGCTGGGGTCCCTTTGTCCCGGATGAGCAGTCTGGAGCCCGGCATGCAGACCCTGTGGCCTGGACTCCAGACAGCCAAGCAGCCTGCCGTCCCCTGGGGAGGGAACACCAACCAATAAAGACACAAGCAGAGCACGCGTGGAATCTGCCTGCCTTGCGCCCCGGCCGGATCCGGCCCCCTGCCCCCAGGCTCGTCCTGAAAGCCTCTGCAGCAGAGAGCCTGCCCTGACGCCCCCCACCCCGAAAGGCCCGGGGCGGGGAGCAGAGGCCCAGCTCAGAAACGTGGGCACCCCGGGACTTCATTCTCAGGCTGTGCGCATCCAGGCTGTGACGAGGCCCGGTTAGATGTGGGCTCCCTCTCACTGGGGGCGGCGTGGGCGCGGGGAAGCACCAGGTTGCTGCTGCACCAGGGGGTCTGGTGTGCAGGCGAGGGGGGTGGGGGCCGGCGCTGAGCCTCTGGGCGGCGGGGCCAGGGCCCCAGTTGGGGTGGGCAGCAGGTGGCAGCAGGAAGCTGCTGCCCTCCCCCTTGGCAGTGGCTTCCTGTCCTGACCTAGCCCCGCGTCCTGACAGAGGAGAAGGAAGTGTCCTCAGGCTGCGGTGGGGGGGGGGCGGGGGATGGAGCCCCACCCCCTCCCACTGCAGGGAAGGCGCTGGGGGAGGGGTGGGGAGCGGCGGGCGCCCCAGGCCCGGCGCTCAGTTCAGAGCCTTCTCCCGGCAGCGCAGACTCGACACCACTCGGTTTGCCCCTCCCATTCACAAACTGGGAAACTGAGGTTGGGAGGAGCCCACAGAAGCGCAAGGCAGGACGCTTCTTGCAGCAGGGGCGGGCCTGCTCTCTGCTGGCCTCCCTGGGAATGGGCCTCCCCACCCAGCTCGGAGGCCAGGCGCTGAACCAAGCCTGCGGTGCACCGGCCGCAGGCGCCCCGTGCAGAGGCCACACTCAGCCGCGCCCGCAGGGAGAGAAAGCGGCCCCTCACAGAGGGCACAGCCTCAGCCTCCCTGAGCACCGGCCCGCTCGCCTGCCCGGTGTGGTTCACTGGGCCCCTTCTCCCCATGGCTGAGCCCAGCCAGGGCCGCCCTGCCACTTGGTCACCAAGTGGCTCATTCACAGGGAGCACAGCAACGTCTTAGACGGGAAGGACTGTCCGCCTGCTGCCTTCTCGCCAGCACGCCCCCCCCTCCAAGGTGCAGGTGGGGTTGCCCCCAGTCTGGCAGGAAATCCAGCTCTTTGAGCCTTTAGAGAGGTGGCCGCCCCGCACAGGTAGGACCCGAATCCGAGGCTGCGCGCCCCCTCCCAAGTGTGGGTGGCTGTCCCCCTCCAGCCCCCAAGTGTCCCGGGGGCTGGGATCTGGCTCTCAGGTTCGGATGAAATTCCTGCCGCCGTCAGCTCTTCTGCGCGGAGGGCAGGCAGAGGTGGGGACCTGGTGGGGGGCGAGCAGCCCCCAGCATCCCCCCAGGGTCCACGGGCTGGGGCCAGGGTCGACCTCGGAGCGCCTCTAAGGGAGGACTATTTCAGGGGCCTGCGGTGCTGCGCCTCGGCTCAGCGTCCCTGGAAAAAGAGCGCCCTGGGACTGAGTCAGGGGTCTCGGTTTACGTGTGGGCTCTTGGGCGCATCACCTCAATGCCTAGCGAGAGGCGGGCAACCAGAAAGCCTCTCGTGGCGGGTCAGAGCTCCGAGAACCGCCCAAACGCTGGTGGGCAGGAGACCGGGGAGGGGCGGCGGGCGGAGGGCACCCGGCGGCCCCTTTAAGCGGGGGCGGCGCGGGCAGGGCGCGGGCAGGGCGCGGGCGGGGGGCGGCGCGAGCCGCGGCCGCCGGGGCGGAGCCAGCGCCGAACCCGTCCCGGCGGCTCGAGACCCCGCCCCGCGCGGGCGATGCCGAACGGCGCGGCGGGCGGCGGGGCGCGCAGAGGAGCGGGCCGCGGCGCGGAGGCGGCCGGAGCGCGGCCCCGCCATGGGCTTCCTGCACCAGCTGCAGCTGCTGCTCTGGAAGAACGTGACGCTGAAGCGCCGGAGCCCGGTGAGCGACCCCCCGCGCCGCGGGCCTGCGGGAGCCGGAGTCTGCGCGCACCGGGGCCGGCGGCGCGCTCCCCGCGCGCACGTGCGGTGGCCCGGCCGGGCGCGCGCGGACCCCAGGCGGGCGGGGCGGCGGGTGGTCGCCCCTTCCACGCCTGCCCCTGCCGCTGCCCGCGCTCGGGCCTCCGGAGAGGGGGCTCGGCTGTACCCGGCCCGCCGCCCGCGTCCGCTGACGTTCGCGGAGCTCGGCTGAGTCACGGGGCGGGCGCCCTCCGCAGCGCGCTCTCCTGGGCCAGCCTCAGAGCTGGAAGGTGGCCCCAGGCCCCTGGGGGCGCGGGAGACCCTGCTTCCCTGGGCAGAGGACCGGCTGGGAATCTGGATCTGGCTCAGAGGCGCTGCAGTCTCTGGGCCCAGCCCTGGCGCCCCTGCAGGGACCCTGCCCCTCCTCCGGGCGCAGCCCTCTGTCCTTGGACAGGCGCCTCGCGCGCACATCCGCCGGCCCTTGCTCACGGGCTTGCACCGCGTCCTTGCTGTGCCTGCCTCGGCCAGCCGGGACCCTGCTGCGCGCTTTTGTCCTTTGGGGCCGTCCTCCCTGAAGCGGTCCACTCTCCACTCCCCCCACTTGGCCTCCCCCCCGGGACTGGGTCCCGTGACCACCACGCTCCCCAGCTCTCTGCCCTGTACTCAGGGGCTGAAGCTCTGGTGAGGAGCGGGGCTGGGCTGGTATGGGTGTCATCACGCTGACCGCCACTGCTCTGGCCTTGGGAAGGGCAGGGGCATCTGCTGGCCTGCCTAGCTGGCATCAGCCACATCACAGCAAGGCAGCAAGCCATGGGCAGCTTGGGTTCCTGACAGGACACCGGGGATTTTTCAGGATGGGGCTCAGGGCGGGTTGGGGTCTGTAGATGGAACCTGAGGTGGCGGCATCTTCCTGCTTCTCTGGGGTTTGGGGGCTCCTGTCCCACCTGGCCCCGGGGCCCCTTGAGCTGACCAGCTCCTGCCTGGGCCCCTCCCCGAGAGGGGTTTCAAAGTGCACAGCGGGAAACCCAGACCTGCAGATGGGCAGGGTAGCCGTCATCACCCTGGCCTGGCAGGATTCCCATGGGCACCTGGCCCTGGCAGGGAGCCAGGCTTGTGTTCGCTCCCTGCCCGCGGCGCCCGGGCTGACTGGTGCTGGGCTCATGGATCAGACCTGCAGCCTCTGGCGCTGCTTCCCCGCCGCAGGTTTTGGGTCACCGGGGCCAGCAGGGCGGGGCCCGGGGAGGGATTGAGACTGGACGTGGGCGTGCGTCAGTGTCACCCCCGAATTCCTGACAGGGAGGAGGGGAGCTGGGAGCAGAGGCTCCAGTGAGGGCCCCAGCATCTCCTGGGCGCCCCAGGGCTCAGGGTCCTGGGCACCTGGCAAGCCCACTGACCTTCCCCCGGGAGTAGCCCCCGCAGGTCAGGCCGGGCCTCCCAGAGCCTCCCTTGCCCCGCCGCATGGTGCCCCCAGGCAGGGCTGGGCTTGTGGAGGTCCTTGGCCTGTGGCCACAGCACAGCAGGAATTCTTCCTCCAGAGTGGCTGAGGCCTCCCTGCGCTCATGCCGTGGGCTGGGGCAGGCCAGGTGGCGGGCGCACTCCTCCACTTTTCCAGGAGGGTCTTGGGCGTCACGGTTGGCTCCCTGGACTTGGCTGGCAGAGGGTCTGGCATGTGTGCTGCGTGCCTCGCTGAGGGTGCGTATGTACCCTGGGGGAAGCCTGGGCTGGGGGATAGGAACCAAGGATCTCTGTGCCCAGCTTGCTCCATCTTCCCGAGTTCTGTGCCTCGGTTTCTCCATCTGTCGGTGTGGACCTAGGTCTGGATAGCAGTCTGTCCTGGGGCTTCTGGCTGCTCCTGGTGGGGGGACCAGGTCCCTGGAGTCAGGGGCAGCGCCTCTGTCCTCAGGCCTCACCTGTTCTCTTCTGGATGCAGTGGGAGGGGCCCGGTGGGGACACATGGGGCACTGGCCCATCTCCAGCGACAGGGGTCTGACCTTGCAGGCCGCTGGGTGGGGCGCCCAGGTGGGGCTGAACCTGCACTACCTGTCGTAACCAGATGCCCCTCTGGCCACCCGCCCGCCAGGCAGGCCTCCCTCCTCCCAGCAGCTCGTGTGCGGCCGTTGCTATAGCAATGAGGAGGCAGCAGGCCTGCTGCTGCAGTTACTGGCGGAGGTGCCCGGTGGCAGGGCGGGGGTGGGTGGGGCCAGCTCAGCGGCCGTGACCCCAGCCGCGCTGGGTGTGCACGCGGCAGGCGCCTGTCCTGGTCCACGATGCCTCCTGGGCTGGCCCCAGGCTGGCTGCTGGCTCGGGGCGGGGGTGGAGGCTGGCACGGGCTGGGGCGGGCATGGGGTGCAGACACACAGCAGGGTGTTCCACACCACAGAGCCCTATTGTCCACCCAGTACACACAGCAGCATCTGGCCCCGCCCGGGGGGACCAGGGCTTGGGCGCTGGGCCAGCGAGTGCGCCGCTGGGTCAGCGCTCTGCAGAGTGTTTGGGGTGAGGGGTGAGGCTGAAGGAGTCTTGGTGCGTC